CAACGGCCCAGGTATATTGCAGATATGAAATGACAATTCTCGCGTAACATTTGAAAAGGGCCTATCCTCGTTGATCGATTCTCTTAATTGACTTTCTATTTGGTTTACCACGGCTACATAAACGAATTTCTTGCTAAGCTCGCAGCACAGTTCGACAGAAGATGGTGTTAGCTTGCACCTGAAACAACACACTCAATGGAAAATACATTTGCAGTCGGGTTATTCGCTAAAGGGAATCGATAAAATTTATATTAGGCCCTTTTCTAGTGTTGCGCGAGAATTTCGCTGTTGAATGAGGTTCATGTTTCTCACCGAGCTGTTTTGCTAACGTTTGATAGAAATGCTAAATGAATGCAGGCTGATATCAACTGGAAATTCTGTATTATAGGTACTTGTGATAACCGAAAACTTTGTACATTCAACCTCCCGGCGCACGTTGGGGACAAAAACGTAAAAAATTATCAAAATTCAATAACTCTTGTTCACACTGAAATAGTCTCAGGAATCGAATGGAAGTGATTTCATCTTGGACAGGATAGTACAAGTTGTGGTTTGCATAACTCTTAAAATTTTAAATCGTGATGATAACAATTATTCTTATTTGGTTTTCAATCAAAAAAATATATCAAGAATCCAATAAAAATGGTTTCAACTTAGGCAGATATATGCTAACTGACATTTTGACCTATTTTGCCTCCATTTCAATTCAAATCGTACACTCCCGCTCCTGGTATGAGAATTCTGAACTAGACTACCCACTATACAATAAATCTTGATCATCTGAAGAATTTTACTGAAGACGGCAACCTTCTATCTAGTCAAGATGATAACTTAAACAAGCCATTAGAATCAAATGGCAATAGTGTTGCCTGAGATGCCCACCATACGATAGATCTAATCATACATATCAACTTTACTAAAGACAGCAAAACTTCTATCTAGTCGTGCTGTCTTTTAACTTGACAAGCAATAAGATGTCAAATTGCACATTAGCGTCACCTGGTGGGTGAATTCTGATCTGAGCTGTCTACCATCCAATAGGTCTTATTCATCTCAACAACTTTGTTCAATACCGCCAACTTCTATCTAGTCGAGGTCGCAAGTTAAAGCAAGCTTAGGCATGCGCAGACCTCTTCATTAGGTTTCGAGGGACTTATTGATATAAGTGAGGCAGAGAACGGACTAGGCGCTGTTTGAAAAATAAACGTCCAAAATACTACATAACATATTTGATCCCAAGATTGAAGCAACTTGCCTTTTTTTCACGTGGCGATTTCTAGAGTTTCCTGCAGAAAAAAATTAAAAAAAAAAGATGTGGAGAAAGCTTGAAGGGAAGAATCCTAAAATAAATTAATAAAATTTTAAAAAGACCTCTGAAGAAAGCCTTGCATGGACAAAAAGAAACCTGTCATATCTCGGATTACATAAAAAAAGTTGTGGAAGATCAGATTGAATATCAACCTAGTAGTGTTTCATACCCGGGAAATCTCAGGAAGCCGGTGAACGAAATTCACCAAAATCCAGTTGTCCTGATTCTCAAGAAACTGCTGTAGCTACCTGGTAACCAGCTTTATTATACAGATGATATGCTAAACAAACATTTCCACTAAAATAGACCACGCCACCCTGAAGATTTACTTGGAGACATTAGAAAGAAGCTGGCAGTAATTATGGGGCATATTGAGAAAACGTCAAAGAAAAGTCGAAAACAATGTTTAAGGAGAACTTAAAAAAAAACTACTCGTTAAATTTCAGAGAAGCTAGAGGAACTTTAAAGAAAGTTCAAACATATGCAAACATAGAATCTTCCATGGGAAGTAAGATGAACTTGTCCGCCAGAAGCCAAAGAATCGTCCATGGAAAATGGGTAGAAACTTCTGTGAAAAAGCTGAGAAAAATTCCCAAAGAAGTTAGAAGATACTTTTGAGAATTTGGAAGCGATTTCAGGTGGAGCTCTGAAAAAGCAGTAATCACTTCCATAAGCAGGCAGGAACGTCAGAACCACTACTTCTAGTATATGTTTTTTTTTTGTGAAGCAAGCCTTCAGAAGAAATCAGAAGAGTCATCCGAAAAAAGCCAGAAGGAATTTACGGGTGAAATAGGATTCCATTTCCACTTCCACAGGAAGCCAGTAGGACTTCTGAAAGATAGGTTAATGAAACTTCTGAAAAACTTTGTTAGAGTAGAAAAAAAAAACTTCCGCTAAATTCGGGATAAAATGGAAAAATCTCCTCAGATAAGTTGGAAGAAACTTCCGAGAGAAGTCATAACCACCTTTTTTCAGAATAAAAAACAAGATGTCGGAAAAATATTCCGGGGGAAATCTGAAAGAGATAATAATTTATTGACGAAACATATTTAATGCTTCAATCCAACTATCAGAAAATAGTCCTGATCACTACAGTCCTGGGGGTGGTCGCGGGAAGCTATTGACTACTAAGCACTAAAATCAATAAAAAAAAACCAATAAATTATCTATTGCACTGATGCGTGGTATTTATATCCTGATTAACACTAAAAGAATGTAATCAAGCATTAGGAATAAATTTATTAAAACATTAACCTCAAACACATTCTATGAATACCGTCTATTATTTCATACATGGTGTTTTCTCAGTTAGCTAAATAAATGAGTTTTACAGAACTTTAATGGAGGTTTACAATAAGAAAGCTATTTTTTGAGTTAAAAATATAATATTTTTGGTAAAACATCCACAACTGCAATTAACGTAATCGTTTTTATGACAAACAGTTTTAAAGAAACAGCTTTACAATCAAATCCATTGAATGTTGAAGTTTAACAATAACTTAATTATAGTAACTCGATGATCTCAAAATATGCAATGTCTTGAAGTTTTGTATTTCAAGTACAAGTATTTAAGTATATTGAAGAAAATAAAGTGCCATAATTATGGAAAAAAATATTTATTTCAAGTTTGCATTTAACTTTATGAAATATTAAAGATGTTCAGTGAAGTACCATTAACTTCATTTGTAGGAACTTGTAGGAATGCAGAAGATCTGAAGAATTAAAGAAAATGGTAAGAATTTCAGTAAACCTTAATAAACAAGCTGCGGAAACATAAGGAAAGTTCTTAAAACATTTTGAAAATATTGGGAACTTCATGGAAGCCTTAAACCAGCAAAGCGGCTCGATTAGCCAAAAAAAAATATTTTCATGAACATTCAGAGAACTTAATGTAAGTCAAAATAAACTCAAAGATGTGGAGAAAATTTTGGAAAAACTGTGGAAACTTTGAGAAGTTCTAAGTACCTCAGAAATGCTAGATCTAGAGATCTTTAGTGAATTTCATAGATCTTAAGGGCAGTTCCCGTAACAGCAGGAAAGTCCAGACTTTTTGATGAGTTTAATAATCTATAAACGTGAGATTAGATAAATTCAGAGCAGCTCCATGTACTTCAAGAAAAAAAAATACGAGAACCTTTTAGATGTGCCGAGAATTTCAGGGAAGTACAGAGACCTTCAGAGTACTTATGAAACCTTCAGAGAAATTATTTCAGAACAGAACCAAGATATTGTAGAATTATGAGCTATAGGGAAGCTTCTCGGATCTGGACTGACTTTATTATTGACCTCAGAGAAGCATAGAAAACTTCAGTAATGTCCACAGAAGTTCAGGTAAAATTAATGATTTAAGGCAAAGTTCCGTGAGCGTTTATGAAGTTTACAAAACATTTGGAAAATTATGGAAAATTAAAGACAATTCAATTAACTTTAGTAAAATTGCGAGTAATTTTTAAAAACTACTGAGAAATTCAGTGCAGTCTAGAGAACTTTAAGGAAATTCAGAAATATTTTGGACAAATTCAATAACATCAGGAAAGTCTAGAATATTGGAAAAATTATGAATTAGTGAAGAGGGGTTTCATGAACTTCAAGAAAATCTCAAGAATTTTAGTGAACATCTTTGATTTTTTATTTATTTGCGAGACATAAGGAGTTGTGTAGTGGTAAGCGTAATTACCTCTCACTAATGGGGATGCCTAGGGGCCAGGCCTCCTCCAGAATGATCTAGGCCCCGCCCAGATTTTTTTTTAAAGATTATCATAATTTAAATTTTCGGTATTAGAATCACCAAAACAATCTGGAGGGGGCCAGGCAACCTAAACACCCACATTAGCTACGCCAAAGTCGTCAACAGCTATGGAAGTGTATGGACGTGAACGGTTATCCCGGGAAACTAACCAGGCTGATCAGGGCTACGATGGATGGTGTACAGTGCCGTGTGAAGATATCGGGGACGTTGGACTCGGTTGAAACCAGCAAATATGGTCATTCCTGCCTTCAGTTCAACATTGCGCTAGAAGATATTATGAAAAGCACCGGCTTTAACATGCGAGGCACGATCTGCAATAAATTCAGGCAATTCATCTGCTTCGCTACTGACGTGAATATTGTCGGAAGAACGATCCAGGTGATGGCAGAGCAGTCGATCAGGTTCAAATGTGAAGCATAAAAGGTTGGATTAAAGGTGAATACGTCGAAGACAAAGTATCTGTTGGTTGGATGAACCGTTTAGGCAGAAGTGTGATAATCAACGGAGATGAGCTCGTGATGGTGGATGAATTTGTGTAGGTGCGAGCGAGCTAGGTGGTTAGATCAAAATCTTGCTCCATCGAGAAAGTATGGGACGCTCAAGAAACTGCAGACAAACAGTCAGTTTGCGTAACATTGTACAGCAGATGAAGTCTAATTTCCCTTAACATCTTTACAGGTTTTCTTATGACGAATGTTTTCATCATTTAGAGCTCGAAAAAAAAATACAAACCACTTTGGTTCATCAGGGTAAGAAATTGTGGAATTTGGATTTTGATACTGTTTAGACCGCTAAACAAAACGGTACCGTAGAACAGAGGCAAATTATCCAACGAGACGAAACCGATCACAATGGCACGCAATATGTACAACAGTGGCATCTTTACCCTCTATTTTCAGATAAGATTCATGATATATAGCATTATAAGGTAGATTTACTCACCCAAAACATATACGTCTTCAAACTCCGTGACTTTATTTATATTCCATAGTACTATGATGGACAATGAATTGGATAAACATGATTCTTTTTTTTTTTCTTGCGGTCCAAGCACTAAGCCAACACAGGTACACATCTGAACTGTTAAAACTAAATTTCATACAGTTTATATCATAATTCTGATTTCAACTCACAATCACTTCGTTGACATGCTTGAAAATATTGGTTTATGTTCAACGCATCACACAATCATGAATGAACAATTCAGACCGTCGCAACACAACCGAAATATTGTTCCACTTCCGAAGCTAAGTATCGTCCAACGGAAACTAACCAAAACATCAACAAAAAAGTGGCAACGATGAAACTACCACCTAACCGCGGCCATCAGAAATGCGAGCGACGCTGCTCGATCAACGTCCACTGTGCAACTAAATGCGCTCCCCCTAACCAAAACCTGCTTTGCTTTTGGCATTGCAAGGAGAAGAGAGTAGAGAAAAGCACGGAACAAGTAACAACTGAAAGGAATTTAATTCAAAAAGCATAAGCGAAGCATCACGGATAGTGTCGTTACAACACCGATCGGCTGTATTGGTGAAAACATAAATCAACCACCGAAGCATAAGTAGAGATTATAGTACCAAAAGAGCAGGTACGGTACCGGCTATCAATTATCAGTGCTCATCTTCTCAACAGAAAGCCTAATCATCCTTCAGGAAGAAGTGTTATAAAAGGATGAGATTAGGAAAAGGGTTTATTCGTTTACAACCAACCGAGACGCATTACCAATTTTTGTAGATTCATGCCTCGTGCGCCAACGGATAAAAATTCAGTTTTGTATTTTTAGGAGGAACATCGTTGGCATTGCCGAGCATCCATTTCATTATTCGAGCAGTGTGCCAAGTGCCTTGCTACTTCTTAACATTCTAATAAAGCTCGAAACGGCACCAGATATTGCGCCGAAATGTATGCAAAAGCCTGTATCGATTTTCTAGATTGATAAACAGGACAATTCTGCGCGGCGATTGATGATTTACTTAGAACCAGGGATAGATCGCTCTTTTGGGACTTTTTCATTACTTTTTGATATAGAATAAATCCAATTGAATTATCAGTTACCCCATCGAAATATAGATAGCTTAGTGCTATTTATCTCCCTATCAAAATGCAAAATGTACCACAGAGCCACACTCTACACGCTATTTTAAAACTACCCAAATTTGGGTAGAATCCACCCAGATCCGTCAAAACTGAACCTACCCAAAAATGGGTAAACTGTGTTGGAAGTGACAAGTTGACAAATGAACAACGTCGATCGGATTCATGTCAGTTTTGACGGATATGGGTGAATTCTACCCAAATTTTGGTAGTTTTGAAATAGCGTGTATGTTTTCACTGAAGGTGATTTTGGACTCCATATTCTCTTAATACTTTTATTGCTAAAAAAAATGGTTTGGTCTTATGATATGATCATTGGCTACGCAACAAACAATGTTAGCTGCAGACTGGCTTATACAGGCAAACATTTCCTGTATAAGCCTATTTTTTGCTGTATATTCTAATCTGCAATTGTTAGTTGGCTCAAGAGGTATTCGAGACAACGTTAACGGTATGGTCAAACGATAACATGAAACTATTATGGGAATGATTCAAATAATCGGATTTAATTTTTATGTTTTCGTACGTAGAATAAAAAAAAAGCTATACAATGTATTGTAAATTATTTATTATAATATAAATGGAACATTTTTGTCACTTCAGATCGACAAACTTTCTTCCTGCTTTCGATCAGACGTTTTCGCGCTCCTGACGATTTATCAGCACATCCTCCACGAAGACTTCGCTTGGTCAGTTTGAATTCTTTTGGAAGATTCTGCGACACGTTTTTAATTCCTCACTTTTACATTGTGAATCACTAGAAAATTTAAATTAAGTTTCTATTACTAGACATAATAAAAATACTTACCCATTAACATGAGGTTACAAATGACTCGACCTAGCATACAACAAGTGAACAACAAATACTACACAAGCAACCCGTCATAAAAAACCAAGTGTTACTGCAATGAAAACTAAATCTTGGTTTATAATACTTAAAAATACTTACGAGGGATTTAAAATTATGTTAGGTCTAAAGTGTATTCCTAACCTGAGACCTCAATATACTGTACCAATCATTTTTTGGCATGGCTGCAGACAACCAGCAGCCTCTTTTAAAGAAAGTGATGTCGGCGACTCGCGCTCATTCTTGCATTGGATCGCACGGCGAACGGATCACCTTAACTCTACTCACCCACAGGATAGGGTTTATTCCAACCTAGTTGGCTGCTTCTTGCATAGAGATCACCAGGAAGGGCAACTACGCCGAGCCTGATGGTACCGGTCCAGTCTACTTGACTGCTGAAATATCTGAGTTGGCAAGAAACGCCGGCTGTGACAACAAGAAGACAAACATTATCCCTCGTCAAGTGCTGTTGGCTTTCCGTAACGATGAAAAACTAAACAAAGGATTATTCCGAGAGTCGAAGTCATGAAAAATTCTAGTAATCACCCGCTACGTGCTGCAACCTGATTGGATGATGCAATTAACCAATCACCAATCTTAGAGGAATCTTACAAGAAATAATGTTTTACTCAAAATAGTTTAGTAGCGTAATCCTACATCAACAGTTCTTACAACCCCATTGGGCTATCCCTTGTAGTTTATTTTTTTAGATTTTTGTCTTTGAAAATATGGCTAAATTCTTAGATTAGTAGAATTAGTTGCATATTAGAGCCTAACAAATTTTCACGGAAGTTGAAAAATTTAAAATTATGAGGCATGTGCTCTTGCCAACCTCACTCTGACTACGTCCATGTCGTTTAAAACAATACCCCTTATTCTGCGCCGCGAGCGAGGTGAGATGACTCTCTGTCACTAGTGAGGGGACAAAAGTCACCGCGAATGACGTGACTTTCCGTGCAAATCAAACGGAGAGTCACCTCATTCGCGGTGACTTTTGTTGGCGCAGATAAAGGGGAATAATACATACCATTCAAGTAGATTTTAGGTAAATTAAATAAAAGTCAAATTTCTAAATATTACTCGAGTAACCTTTTTTTTATAATACCAAAAGTAATGGAATTTTCACATCATGCAAAAATTTTAAGTTGAAACCAGGCTTCCAGTGCGCGCGCTACCGTATGCGAGACGCAATAAGAATAGTCTCATAGTCATAGCAGTCTCGTGCGCAAGAGATTTGTAGCACTTTGTTTCTCTCTCTTCAGTTTTGTCGCATCTCACATTCTCATAATGTCTGTGTGTCGCACTGTTTTGTAAGCACAGCACATTTCCGGATGTATGCGTTTCATGAGAACGAGTATCGAGAACGTTTCATGAGAACGAGCATGATTCATGAGGCGAAGCTCACGCGCTTTTCTCAAAGAGAGCGACGTCTCAATGCGACATCGAAATAACAAACTCAACTGGAAACCCAACTCGTGTTCTTGATGTGGGAAAAGTGTTGTTTTGTTTTGAAAACGATGGAAAGTGACCTAGCTACTACACTCTTACCGAACATGGAGAAGAGGTGTCAGATGGCTATGACCAACAAAGTTTTCCTAGCGACAATTTTCGTTGATTAAAGGATTAACTTGAAAAATAGCCCATTCATAACGAACGAAGGAAGAGATGTGGCTTTGGTAAGCGAAATGTACTATCAAGTTGTGGTTTATTTGCTCGTTAATATACTTTTTTTTAATGTCACCGAGGGTCCACGGTACTAACACTAGGACTTTTTGGAAATCTGTTGTCGTAAATTGATTGTTGCAATTCAGCATCATGGTGGCTGGTATGAACTATCCTGTGAGCACTAACACATCTGAAGAATTCAGATGCTGCCATAGCAAGTTTTGTTGATTGACAGGTATTCAATACAATTCCTGAAGCAAGAAGCTTAGCAACAATCCGTAATAAAGATATGACACAACTTTTTCCTAAATTTATTACATTAACCTTAATCCAGCATTTTGTACCTACGTACACTGTGGTGCAAACTTGATCGGACAAAGGTCGTTTTCATACAAACTAGCCAAGTTTAACGTGTTGTAAATGTGTTCTGTTATGATCAATTGAGCTGAAATGTTGACGCAAAACTACAGATATGTTGAATTTCACGTGTAAGAAACACCAAATTTTTTGAAGCACCTGCTGGAAGGTGACAATAAAAATAAAATTTGTGCATAGCTGATCGGACAAAGGTCAATGGAAAAGCAAGTTTTGAGTCAAAATTTCAGCTCAATGGATCATAACAGAACAAATTTACAACATGTTAAACTTGGTTAATTTTTAAGTGTAGACTTGTGTGTATGTAATGAGAAGTCACCACCAACGTTTTTGCAGCAAAGTACACTTCTGCGTTGAAAATAATCCCTTAAAATAGTGTTAACTCAAGCCAGACAGAATACAAATATTAATCTTTAGAGTTCTATCATTACTAGCGTGTGAATTTTTTTTTCCCCGTAACGTGGGTAGATCACCTTTTCGTGGTACGTTACGGGATGTAAGATCTACCACCGATTCCTAGTCCTGACTACTTCAAACTAAAGGAACAGGATTTTTCAGTAATGCAAGGAACACATCTTAGTCCTTGTTACTTTTTATGCCTTGTTGATAGTGACAAGACTCGGCTTTGTCTACCGAGGATGATCTTGAAACAAGGAAAAAATTAGTTAGTTGTCTTCATCTATGTGATTCCTAATCTTCTATTCGTTGTTCCCTAGTTCCTGACTACTTCAAACTAGGGGAATAGAATTTTTCAGTAATCCAAGGAACACATCTTAGTCCTTGTTACTTTTTATGCCTTGTTCATAGTGACAAGACTCGGTTTTGTCTACCGAGGATGATCTTGAAACAAGGAAAAAGTGAGTTAGTTGTCTTCATCTATGTGATTCCTAATCTTCTAATCATTGTTCCCTAGTTTGAAGTGGTTAAGACTAGGTTTCTGATGCATGGTCATTATCGGTGTCATACCTTAATTTTGTTGCTAAGGAATCCAATTTTGACTGACAAAGGGGCGCGCCTTTGGAGGGTGTTTCAACACTCCGAAGGGTATAAATAGCGGGACCTTTCAATTAGAGTCGGATCCTTGCGATAAATGCAAGAGTGGCAACTGTAAAAAAATCGAATACTTCATCATTTCTCAATAGTGATGGAGTAATACGACATGCACTAAACTAAGGACACGGGATATACTACAATAGATCAATTTACTGGTCGCAGTAGAGTTAGGTCCCGAAAAGAGGAAAAAAAAAAAAAAGCGTGTCGATATGATCGGTCAAGTCAGACCGAACTAAGTGACGTTTTTTTTTTTTTTTGATTTCGAGAAAACCGAATTTAAAGTTGGCTGTTCAATATTGTTTCTTATGTAAATGTAGCAGAGGGAATTCTTGATCTTATGATATTATTAGCTCATTTTTTGTTTTTATTTTGCTACTTAGTCCCTTCTGACTTAACGCCGACCATATGATCTTGTATAGTAAAATGTAGTGCTGTTTTACATTCAAAATCGTCAATTTATATTTTTACTGGTCTGAGTAAAAGTATTCTGAGGGATTCTGAGTCCAATTTGGTGCAAATGCGCAATAACATGTTTATTTTTCCACCAAATGGGCTCAGAGGCTTCCAAAAAATGTATTTTAAAAGACTTGTTGAAGGACACATAGTTCCAGAGATATTCCGGTATTATGTGGTTTGCTAACATGCTAACGGTATCCCAACTACCGTAAGGTTGCCATCCACCGCTCACAGTCTTCCTTTACCTTCCTTTAGCATCCTTTCGACAAGCAATTGTGTCTTCCTATGAGCATTAGTGGTGATCTTCGGTGATTCCAATAGATCTCTGGAACCATGTGTTGAGTCTGCTTGAATCTATACTAGAAGATATTTCTGGAACCATCTAAAAACTTCACCCCATTTCAAAAGCCACATGTGAAAAGGGCACACAAGTCTTCTGTGAACAAACCCTTGCAGTCCCTTCTCTCGTCACCCGACAACATCACATCTGATTGGACCGCGAGAGTCAAGGCATGCGAAACAGCGCACGACGATGGCACCCTGAGAGAGCGCATTGAGATGTTTCAATGAAACAGTCGCATATGATTGAATACATGCGTCACATTGAGAGAGCAATGCGATGAGACAAAAACAAATTGAAACGCTCGAATTTGTTGAGAGCGTGAAGCTTGTCGCGCGCATCGTTCTGGTCTCTCTTTTGTACAATTAATGTAGCACACCATGGATTTGAGAGTCATGCGACGCTCCGTCTCACAGCTCGCTGTCGCATTTGTGTACGCGTGAGATTTCCGGAAGCCTGGTTGAAACGCTGTGGAGACCTTACCATTTCCCAACTTCAAAAGCGCAATATTTTACAAAATCGTTCGCAAGTATTGTCTGAGATTTAATTCATAGGAAGTAAGAAGTGGTACTGCAAGACAGTGTTCAAATCTAAAAACATATAAGTTTAGGTGTATGCAATTTTTCTTGGATGAGAGGGTGAATTAAGAACAGTTATATTTTGAAAACAATATGTTTGAAAAACTTGGGAACATCTGGAACATTTTTCAAAAATCTGGAAAGTAACGTTCTCTGTCTGTGTACCTAGAAAGATGACAAAAAATCTGTAAAATCTGGCAACGCTGCTTATAACTATGTAGTCTGAACTCAAGACCCTAAATTTATATAGAGACAACCACCCCTATTCTGTATTTCGTTTCAAACGAAATTCTCATACAAAAAAATATTTTTTTGTATGAGAATTTCGTTCGAAACGAAATACAGAATAAGGGTGAACATCTTATCCATTTGACAGGTCTTCTGATCGATTGGAATAACTTTTCTTATGACTTTGACAGATAATCGATTGTTCCCATTTTGACAAGTCGTCTCTTTATAAATTCAGGCTCTTTAGCCTGAACATGGTATTAACAACCGGTGGAAACTAACGATTTTAAATTAGCTCACTACTTGACTAGCCTATTGGTCCCACGCAAATCGATTAACGTATCCCATTCTAGTCGAAATCCTAGTACGACACTAGGTTCGTTTTGATTCTTTATGAAAATTTGACAGATAAAATGAGGGGTTCGTCGATTTTCCTATGTTTCGAGGGATGCATCGATTAGCTTGGGACCGAAGAGAGTACCAGAGCTGAGCCAAAAAGTTGAGCACGTTTCTTCGGAACCTTCTGGTCCTAGAGTTAGGGGCTGTTCATTAACTACGTAGACGGTTTTTTGGGATTCTTGACACCCCCCCTCCCCCTGCGTAGACAATTGTCCATACAAATATTTTAAAATTTGTATGGACCGTGCATAGTTGTCAACCCCCCATCCCCCCCCCCATAAGCTGTCTACGTAGTTTATGAACAGCCCCTTACCTCTATGGTATTAGCAAGGGAAGAAGGGGGCTTATTACGGGTATCACTACACGGTGATAAGGAAGTGATATTCAGAATAAGAGCCGTGATTGCCGTGCAAATCAAATGGGAATCACTTCACCGTAACGACAAGTGACAAGTTTTCACCGTGAAGTAACATCCGTAATAAGCCCCGGGATGTTTTTTTTTTTTAATTAAATATTACTTAGGCCTATTCTGCGCGGCGTGTGAGGTGAGGTGACTCGCTGTCACTAGTGAAGTGACAATTGTCACCTCGGGTGAGGTGACTCTCCATGCAAATCAAATGAAGGTGACAATTGTCACTTCACTGTCACCTCACCTCACACACCGCATATAATAGGCTTGACTAAGTCTTACAATGGAGGGACGGGGTGGATTGAAAATCTCAAAACTGCTTACGTACTTAACGCTCCCAACTCGGCAATTTTTTGCTATAGAAGGGAAACTGAATATTCTGCATATCCAATTAGGCCTTATACACGCAGAAAAATTGATTTTTGTTTCAGGGCCTAATGTATTTTGTTATTGATTCAAACATATTGTATCACTATTTCAACAAAACATATTTTTGAATCAACAAAATGGTTTTTAGAATCAACAAACAGATTATTGACTCTACAACCGGTTTCTTTGAATTAACCGAATAATATATTTGAATCAATACCAAAAATATATTAGGCCCTGAGCCAAAAATATATCCATTTGAATTTAAAAATCATTTCTCTGCGGGTAGAGTTAGCCGACGCCCAAACCGATACTCGCCAAATACTTGTGATGCTTTTCCTATATACAGCATTGCCGGAGACTTGATAATTCTATTATCATTTATTTAAAAATAGTGAGGACAGACTTGCTTAGCCAGTAAACCAATGATTATGTCATCATAACAGAACGTGATAAGGCGCCTGGCAGACTGAATAACAATTGTTAATAAAAAAAATTGTCCGCTCGGTCGCCAGCTTTCACTCTGCCAGGGGCCTAAGTTCTACAAGCATACAATCAGCGGATCCCAAGTTCTTTAGCTTTATACCACCTTTATTATATATCCTGTCTTGAATGGGTAAACCTGTTCGCAGAAAACTGTAAAGATAAATTTTCCTTTTTTTATCATAAACGCCACAGTAATCTAATGCTTTCCGATCGTAGACTATCGATCATCATCGAAGCTAAGCCTGATATCTAGTGTGTGTCTTTGTTATGCTGTTTGTAACTGACTACTAAAGTATAGTTCACTTTATTTTCCGTCTACTTTATTTCTATTTATTTTTGCTTTGCCACAATGCATCGTAGTCGCATTGATCTGATCATACGTCAACATGTATATGTATTAGGTAATGTATTAGAGTTGAATAAGAATCCTATGCTTTGCATCTACTTCAGACCATTTTTGCTCTTTTTTTTCAGGCGTCACCTCCACACACGCTGCACAATCTACTTATACGAAGTTACAAACAAACTGTGGAACAGTACTTTCGACAAATGCTCAATGACTTCCGAGAACACTGAGGCCACGCACGACGGTGCAATACTGAAAACTGGCCCAACTATTATCGTTCTTTGTTCTTTGCAAGAAGACGGTTCCACCTAGAAAGTTATCTAGAGTATAGAATTTGGAGACTTTACATTTTATTATTTTTTTTTATCATACGGAGGTTACCTAATTTTACAATGATTCTTGCTTTTCTTTTTTTATCATCTAGCCAAAGTAGGAAAGTATTACAAATATATGGTTGTTATTCCGCGTCATGAACCATCCATCTCAAACGCGTTAACTCAATGAAAGCTGTCCTAGGGCTAAAAGCCTTTCGACAGCTCCGTTGATGTCGCCAAAGGATGCAATCAAAGCTGAAACAAGAGAAACAATTAATTAAAAGGTGTAATATATCTAGACTAACATTTGAAAAGGGCGGAATTCCAAAATCACCATATCGAGAAAAGCGCTTCCAAATGTTGATGGCCTAAAAATTTTGCATTGTTTAAAAATATGTTAATTCGAAAAGTAGAACTATAACTTGGCTTCCGGACAATAGAACTTCAGAATGGGACTGATATACGATTACTTTACTTGATGGCTGACTTGATGTTATTATCACATTTCGCACGATCAAAGCCTTTTATGACAAAATATGAAAGTAGATGCTAATAGTGGATAGCGTTGTGATCTCAAAATTAATGAATATTATAGGCAGATAATACGGTAAAAATTTTAAATTTTTTATTAACATTTACTTTTACTAGAAAAAGAATGAAAATAATTCATTTTTCTGAAACTTTTTGCACCTTCGTCCGCAAAATTCTTCCAATTTCTCCAGGGAATTTCTTGTAAATTCCTCTCGAAGTTTCTAAGAACTTCGAACTAAGAACAAGTTCTTCATAACTTTCCTGCCACTGACTAGCAACGAAGCATGGAAAAAAAACGTTTGAACATCAAAACCATTTCTGGATCAGGCAGGGTTGCTGCCATTCAATAGCTATATAAAAAAATGTTTTAGGGAATATTGAAACCATTAAATGATATACCGTGAAGGCACCACATTTGACGCAGGTCCAAACTTGGCCACTTTTGTACTATTTTTCGAACTCAGAGAATTATTTCCCGAAATAGTTCCCAATAATCAACCACTAGTTTTTATAAACAGTCAACCTTTACATTCGCCACGAAAAACTGTTTGTGGATAGTCTTTTTTGCATCTGTCAAATGCGTCAGATTTCATCTGCCTAAGCTAAGAAGTTGGTTGATAAGGTTTTATCGGGTTCGTGTTAAAAAAAAATGTTTTAATAGTAAACTCGTCATTAACTGGAAGAACATAAGCTTCATCGATGTTCCGATACTATTAATGCAATTTTGTCATGTTTTTGCAAGGTTATATTGGAAATTATGTTTGCATCATTTAGTATTCATAATTATGTTCAGTGAGTTTAGTGCAATATATAGAATCCTAAAGGAAGAAAAATCATCAGAAAATCGATTAACCGTTATTCATCATGTTATCATGTCGAAATGATCCTATGGATTCTATAACATTCCCCAGAAAACCATTCCCCAGAATGCACCATTCCCCAGAAAAGTATGCAATGTATTAGATTGTCTTTTTTTGTTTATTATAGTCACTCCTGGAATCTTCTTTCGAAGAACTTCTTAATTTGTTAGGGATTCGGGATAATGACCATTTGGGATAATAACGTGTGGAATAATGTTATAAATTTGTAATCGGTAGTTCAACGTTCCATGCACCGATTTTTTAATCCATCACGAGAAATTCTTCAACACAGGTCGAACAATTCTTCGATAAGGTTTAACAGTTTCCGACTGGTTGAATTGGGTTGCATAATAGACCCTTTGACTTTTTAAATGATGAACGAAGTGCTCGAAAGCTTGAAGTGTATCATCAATAGTAAAGTGAAACTAATCAGAGAGTTTTATCATGAAAAATATATTAAATCAAATGTGTAAAATTTATCGACAAAATTGGTATTCAGAAGATGTATTATTCAGTGTGCAAGATACTTGCGGACCTGTTTATTTATGGACGGCTGTTTTGTAATATAAAACAGAAATATAATATCAAATGACCAAAAAAAAAGTAATAAATTACTAATTTCATCACCTTTTCTGGGGAATGGTACATTCTGGGAAAGGCTTTTCTGAGGAATGATGCATTCTGGGGAATTGTGCATTCTGGGGAATGGAATTCTGGGGAATGGAATTCTGGGGAATGGAATTCTGGGGAATGGTTTTCTGGGAAATGGTATTCTGTGGAATGTTAAACAATCCGTCTCGGTCCTGTAGTTGGTGGTGAAAAGGGGGTCTTCCACCATGCTTGCATAGACAAGTACCTCTGTGATTTAAGTTTATCGTTGCGTGATGAGTTCTCCCATACTCAGGTTATTCTGACCAAACCGAATTTTCGGTGACGCCTTCTGAAAATCTCTTGAGCCAAATTACTTATCTACCGTCCTGGTAGTAGAAAGCATTTTAGAAGTCCCCAGTTCCTCTAAATCAGTCGTGCCTATTGCAGTCAACGTTTATCCAAGTCGTCCTGGCCCTGAGTTTAGATGTGGATTGAGGGTCTCCCAGCTTGCTATATTAGGCAAGTACACACTTAATAGCGAACTTTCACTGCCTGATGATGATCATAATTCCAGTGCCTTCACAGTCAACTGCTCTCCAGAGCCATCACAGTAAACTGCTCTCCGGGACGCATTGTTGCCGTCTGCCCTGAGCAAGCCCCTATTCCGCTCATCGCAGTCGAGCCCCTCCTGCCAGCGACCAGTAGTGGTCCCGGCCCTGCGTTTGAGATGGGAGAAAGGGGTTTCCACACTGCTGTTATTGGCAAGTATGTTCAACCGACGAATTTATTATCGCCTGAAAGTATCTTGGTTTCCAGCAGCCCTATTCGAACATCCTTCCTCCGTCAAGTGACATCTACCAGCTCCTAAATAAAACCACACGCTGAACCTTCCATTGTTCTTGAACAGCGGAGGTCGGACATAACGATTTACTATCAGAACGTAGGCGGTATGAACGGCATCGTGAATGATCATCATCTGGCCGTCGTGGATCACTGTTACAACATTATAGTTTTGACCGAAACATGGCTCAATTATCGAAACATTTCAAATTATGTCTTTGGTGCTGGCTACGAAATATTTCGCTGTGATAGAAACACGAATAATAGTTGGAAAACTACTGGGGGAGGCGTCCTTATCGCAGTTAATTCCAAGCTGAAAGCAGAAGTTATCGAGGACGATTCCTGGAACACGGTTGAACAAGTCTGGATGGCTATTCAACTTGGTGACCGTCAATTGCTTCTCTGTGCAGTGTACATCCCTCCAGATCGAACCCGTGACTTGGAGTTTATTGACGCACATCGTTGATCCGTCTTGGTCGCTTCAGACAAAGCAGGCCCTTCCGACGAAGTTATTGTTCTTGGCGATTTTAACCTACCGGACATTGCATGGACACCAACCCATAGTGGTTTCTTTTGCCCTGATCACGAGCGTTCATCTTTCCACGTTGGAACCATCAAGCTCCTGGATAGTTATAGTACTGCAATGCTGTCACAAATCAATGGCATGTTGAATGAAAACAAGCGCACCCTGGATCTCTGCTTTGTGAGTGCTCGTGATACGGCTCCTTTCCTCTCCACGGCACCCGAACCTTTAGTCAAGGAAGTGCATCATCACCCTGCTTTAGTTATCGTGATAGAAAATAATATTATCCATGATTTCATGAGCACTCCAAACGCTGTGTCATATGACTTCCGTAGAGCTGACCATCGCAGTATTGTCCATGTGCTGTCTAACATAGATTGGGAGCATATTCTAGATGCTGTAGACGTCAACATTGTCAACTTACTGGAAGACTGCGGATATGTTTCCTGTTCATGAGAAGGGAAGCAAACGCGACGTAAACAACTATATCAAGCAATATCTAAGTATAGATCAACACGGATTCATAACTGTGCGTTACACAACTACGAACCTGCTGTGCCTAACGTCTTACATCACAGACAGTTTGATTGCTCGGACCCAAACGGACGTTATTTACACAGATCTCACGGTAACCTTCGATAAGCTGAACCACGAAATTGCGATCGCTAAGCTTGATAGGCTAGGGATCAGTGGAAATCTTTTGAGATGGTTTCGTTCATACCTCACGGAGCGTCAACTGACAGTAACTTTGGGTACTTGTAGCTCAGCAAGCTTCTGCGCTAAGTCCGCAAAGATTACTAAGAACTTCACAGACATTTACTGCTTGAAGTCGCTCTATTGCTCTCTCGTACGATCTACGTTGGAATATTATTATTATTATTTATCTTTATTAGGGAGGCTTTCAGCCTTGGGCTGGTTTGCCTCCAAAGTACGTTGGAATACTGCTTTGCAGTCTAGAGCCCGAACTACAATAATGGGGTCGAGCGAATTGAATCTGTGCAACGACGTTTTCTTCGCTTCGCGCTCCTGGAGATACCCACTTCGTCTTCCAAGCTACGAGAATCGCTGCCAATTGAAATATATCGAGCCCTTACGTATCCGAAGAGATATTTTCAGAGCCTTAACCGTCGCCGATACTCTGCAAGGAAGAATCGGAAATTCTTCAACTGGGCTGTACTGCCGGTTATCGCAAGTCAGCCCCATCTGCATGGCGTTCCCGGTCATGTTCGTGGTGCTACATAAATGTCTGAATAAAGGTCACTTCCCGACAGATGAGAGATACAGAAACTAGTATTTGTCTAAGTGACAACTGCACGTTGAGACAACTTGCAGATGACGGCGTAGTGTCTATGACAGGGCCCAAAGGGGTCGACCTGCAAGGACCCTTACAGGATACCTTAGACAATTTGTCTACTTGGGCTATTCAGCTAGGTATCGAATTCTCCACGGAGAAAACTGAGTTGGTCGTTTTTTCTAGGAAGCATAGCCCAGCACAACCAAAGCTTCAACTTTTGGGTAAACCGATCACTCATTCTATGTCCTTCAAATATCTTGGGGTCTGGTTCGATTCAAAATGCACCTGGAGATCCCACATTGAGTATTTGAGACGAAAATGCCAACAAAGGATCAATTTTCTCCGAACAATTACCGGAACGTGGTGGGGAGCTCATCCGCAAGATCTTCTAACGTTGTACCGGACAACGATTTTATCGGTTTTAGAGTACGGTAGTTTTTGTTTCCAGTCGGCGGCTAAAACTCACATCATCAAACTGGAACGTATCCAGTATCGTTGTCTTCGTATCGCGTTAGGATGCATGCACTCGACTCATACGATGAGTCTAGAAGTGTTGGCGGGCATGTTGCCACTATCGGATCGGTTTTCGGAATTGTCCCTCAGGCTCCTCACCCGTTGCGAAGTTATGAACCCACTGGTAATCGAAAACTTTGAAAAGCTTCTCGAGCTGAACCCTCAAACTCGTTTTATGTCATTGTAATACGTGTACATAACACTGGATGTCAGCCCTTCACAGCATAATCCTCATCGTGTATGTTTCTCCGACTTCGGCAATTCAGTTAGTTTTGATTTATCTATGACGCGGGAGATTCGTGGGATCCCAGAACATCATCGTTCCATGATTGTTCCGTCAATTTATGCTGCAAAGTTTGGCCAAGTTGATTCCGCAAGATCGTTCTTCACAGATGGATCATTAATAGAGGCGTCCGCTGGTTTTGGTATTTTTAACGAATTTCATAGCCCCTCTCGAATGCTTCAAGCTCCCTGTTCCGTATATATTGCTGAGTTGGCGGCTATATACTATACGCTAGAAACGATCGCCTCACTTCCACCAGATCACTATTTTATTTTTACGGATAGTCTCAGTTCTGTCGAGGCTATTCGCTCCATGAGGCCGGTAAAGCACTCCTCGTATTTTCTTATGAAAATACGAGAGCATCTAAGTGCTTTATCTTTAAGATCTTTTGTCATTACCTTTGCATGGGTCCCATCTCATTGCTCGATTCCGGGCAATGAGATGGGGGACTCACTTGCTAAGGTGGGCGCTATGCAAGGCGATATTTACGATCGCCAAATCGCCTACGATGAATTTTTCTTCATTTATCGTCAACAGTCACTCGTCAGCTGGCAGAATAAATGGAGCGAAGGAAGTTTGGGACGATGGCTATATTCGATCATCCCTAAGGTGTCGAAGAGTCCTTGGTTCAAGGGGTTGGATGGGGGTCGAGACTTCATTCGTATGATGTCTCGCCTCATGTCCAATCACTACTCGTTAAACGCTCACTTGTTCCGTGTTGGGCTGGGGGACAGCAATCTCTGTGAATGTGGACAAGGTTACCAGGACGCAGATCACATTATTTGGTCTTGTGCTGAGCATCGTGGAGTCAGATCTGAACTGTACGATTCCCTTCGGGCTCGAGGTAGACAACCTAATGTTCCAGTTCGAGATATTTTGGGTAGACGCGATCTGGAGTTTATGAAACTTATATATGTTTTCTTCAAGAATATTAACCTTAGATTGTAAGTTTGACTAACCTTGGGTTTAGTTTTTGTTTTGTTCGTGTGGGTTTTTTTTTTATGTTTGTTTCTGTAATAATTGTATAATTACACTGTGGATACCAAATTGAATAGTAATAAGTTCATGTTTTAGGAATAATGAAATATTTGTATCGTAAATCATAACTCAAACCTCCTCCTCCCTCTCCCCATCCATAAAACTGTAAATCTCTACTAACCTCGAGATGACCGCGAGTAATCGGTTCAGTTCCTTTAAATCTAGACTTAAGACATCAATTATGTATAACGCAAATGATAACTTGGCTCTGTAAAGTTTATTCGATTGAGCCTGTACAAATAAATTAATTAATAAAAAAATAAAAATAATCAGTATCGCTGAGAAACTAGTATTGCCGCCGAAACCAGGAAAACCTCCAAGTGATCCAGCGTCCTATCCTATAGGCCTATATGCTTGCTGGATACACTTGTAAAACTAATGGAGAGGATTATCCTCAGCAGCCTAACGGAATGTACGGAGAGTGAGCATAGATTGTCGAAGATGCAGTTAGGATTCTGGAAGAAAGATCTACGGTGAACGAAACTCCGGACAGTGATCGAGAGAGCCAAACCGTCCACACAGAAACGAAGGGGAAATCGATTTTTCGATTTCGATAGACGTCATGAATGCATTCAATACCGCTAGCTGGGAAGCCAGTGCCGATGTGTTGCACAGAATGAGGGTCCCTGACCACCTTTGTAGAATTCTGAGCAGTTACTTTCAGAACCGGGTACTGGTCTACGGCACAGAAATGGGACAGAGATAGATTAGAATTACGTCAGGTGTTCTACAAGACTCTATCCTTTATCGAACGCTATGGAACGGGATGTTAAACAGCGTGTTCACGCTTCAGCTGCCCAAAGGCGAAGACAACATATCAAGAAGACTGGCAACTCTTCCATTTTCTCAACGAGCGCTCAAAGGTAAATGCTCCGAACGGATTGGATAGCAAAGGTTCCATCCTCAGAAGAAAGGTTTGTGTATTTTCTCATTTTTCTAGGCGTTGCTTCCACCTTCGCTAGAGCGCAACGCTGCTATGTCTGTCGCTTGAATGCAGGCAAAGTTACCAGTCTTATTGATATGTTGTCTTCGTCAAAGGTTTAGACATCGTTGGCTTTGCTGATGACGTCGTCTTAAAAATTTACCAACATACATTAGAACGTCATTTGCCAGTACATGATCGAAGTATTTGTGCGATTATCGAACATATGGTTAACAAAATAGTCTAGTTCATTATCAAAAACCCCGCTCCTCCCCTCGGTTTACGGTACACAAATATTTAAAGAAAAATATTCAACTCACCTTGCAAATTGGCTTCACGGTTGACGAATCCCATAGAGGCCAGCTGCTCCAACTGCGATCGGTAGCGTTCCTCCGGAGGAATATTTGTGTTCGATCCAGTGGCCATTCCGTTGACCATGCGTGACATGAAATCGGAAAACAACGCTGGATTCGACTGAGCCGGTGTATTGGTGTTGGTCGTTGTAGTAGTTCCAGAGCCAGCAGAAGTTGTCGCAGCACCCGGAGGCGGCGGAGGAATTCCCATCGTGTTGACCAAGCCCGGGGCGACCGTACGAAGTTGTTCCATACCTTGCTGGATCTGCAGAATCGCCTCAATCGCTTGCGGATTAGACATCATCTGTTGCATTTCCGGATTTTGTAACTGTTGCAGAAACTGCGGCATCATCGTGCGCATTTGTTCCTGCATTGCCGGGTTGTTAGCCAAGAGTGGGTTTTGACTCATCAACTGAAAGTGCGGAAGAAATTCGTTGAATATTTGGATAAAAAATAACATTATTTGTTACTAATACATTAGCAGCCATGTTCGGATCCGCAGACAATGCTTCCAGCATATTGCGCGTGTAAGGCGCACTCATCATGTTGGACATCAAAGACGGATTATCGCCTATTTGCTGCAGTAAACTTTGCATGCTAGGCGTATTCAAGACGTTCTGCGGTGGGTTGTCTGTGGATGATCGATTGTTATCGCTTTGGTTACCGCCCCAGGGATTTGGCAAAGGGCTACGGTTCTCCGATCCCTGCTGGGGATTTTCTGCATTTGCATACATCAAGGTTAAATAAATAATAATCAAAACTAAATGTTCAAAAACAACTTACCAGCACTTCCCGAATCCGATGTTCCGGAGAAAGGATTCCTAGCGGTTGCATTCAACATTGGTTCTTGGATATCCCGATAGATTCGTTGCAATGCGCTGTATCCTCCCGGAACGCTCTCCAGATTGGACATGGCACGATCATGTGATCTCATCAGTTCCTGCAACATCGATGGATTGCGAGCCAATTCCATAGTCTGGCGCAGCAGTTCCGGATTGTTCAACATATGGGAAATTTCCGGATTTCTCTGCATCAGATCTTGCATCTGTGGGTTAGAAGTAATAATCTGGCGCATCGTGTCCGGATTATTCATCATCTGCTGCACTAGTGGATTATCCAGAACAGTGCGCATCAATTCCGGATTGCCCAACAACTCATGCTGCATGCGCGATTGTAGATCCATGAAATTGGTCTGATTTCCACCAAGTGCTCCCAGGGCGCTTAATCCTCCCAATTGGTTCAAACCGAACGGAGTTTGGCTTACATCAGCCGGCGGACGACTCGGACCTTCCGGTTCGTTTTTCGGCGCAGCTTTTATGACTAAATGCACCGTAAGACCATCTTTGATGTTGTGGGTCTTCAACGTATCCGTATCCTTCATAATCTTTCCGGCGAAAATCAGACATACTAAATCCGGATCCGATTCGAACCTCTCCGCAACAGTGGCCCGAAGCTGTTAAAAATGAACGAAACAAGCAATTCAAAATTAGTATCACCTAGGTATTGCATCACACACCGATCGCTCATTGCAATTCCAGCAGCTGTCGTAACTGAGAGTGAAATTGCCTTGAATTTCACAACACGAAACGAAGGTTTCCAGAACCACCGAGCAGCAGCATCAGCAACCTCCTCCTCTTACGTGTATTTTGCTGGTGCTGCTGCGGCATAAATTTACACGTCGTCCGTGTGTTTGTGTGAGTCACTTTTTCATGTTTTTATTCGATTTCCGACAGTCATGTAGTAGCCGATTTTGATCCAAGTAATCAGACGCTATATCACGCCGGAAGCAGCAGGAAAATATCTTCATAGCTTACCTCTTTGATTTCGGCATCCTCTGCTATCTCGATGGATTTCTTATCCTTCGGAGTTTTCACGTTAATCGTGATTTTCTTGTTGCCGCTGTCCTCCGCCATTTCTCACACTGATTTTCACGACTTGAATAAAAGCGACAGCTCGATTAGTTCACAGTCGACTTACATGCTTTTTCAAAACTCCCCAAATTTGAGTAGAAGCCACCCAGATCGGTCAAAACTAAACCTACCGAAAAATTGGTAAACTATGTTTTGAGTGACAAGTTGACAAATGGACAACATCGACATGAATCCGATCAACTTTGTTCATTTGTAAACTCGCAACATAGTTTACCCATTTTTGGGTAGGTTCAGTATTGACCGATCTGGATGGATTCTACCCAAACTTGGGGAGTTTGAAATAGCGTGTATCGATAAGGCCACAGTATTCACGCATCATGTCAAACTGAACATTGCATTGGACACGGAGAAAAACATTGAACCCAAAATTTGAGTTCTTTTTACTTAATATTGACTTCATCCTCTCACTTGCACTCTTTATTGTTGTCAAAAAAGAAACGAGAGATTCTACCCAACGATATAGTTCAGCCCAATAAGTTACTTTTGAGTAAATTGCATATTCTCAAGTTTACGTTAATTAAACTTAATTTTGGGTAGAATAGGTATTTTTTTTGCTGGTGTTAAATGGAAACTACTATATGCGATTTACTCAAATTTGGGTTATTGGGCTGAACCCCGGTATTGAGGCAAAAGGCTATCTGCGTTGTTTGATTTTTTCTCCCGGTCCAGAAATTTGGGGCATCGTGAGCGATAATTTTAATTTTAGTTTATTTACGCGGTGATGATGTTGGTTCACTCGCAACTATTTTTGAAAAAAAAATAAGCGTTTTCGAACGAAAGTGTACCAAAAGTGCTTCTGAACGTGTTTCGTAGTTGGGTATGTTTTTTTGCCGTTCGACGACGACGGGTGTGCTTTCGCGAGAGTGACGTATATTTGATCCGTTTCTTTGCACGGATGTGTTTTTTTGTAACTAGCGTAAGTGTGCCTGCGATTTGCATTGAGTGTCGGAGATTGTAAGTAATCTGAAGGATGCCTCGCTATATACGCCCAAGACTGGACGGGCAGTAGCTGGTGGCCGTGAACGGTTCCTGGGGAAAGCACTAGATGCGACCCTCCTCCCAGATGACCATGGCAATACAGGAAGTATTGGTATTGGAAGGTAATTGCTATTAGATATTTTGTAAACAGTGACAGATAGCAGACATGAAGTACCAGTGGAGGTGCCGGGCAAGTTTATCCTAGACAAATGGTAAGTTACAAATTCACTGTTGTCGTTGTCGTAGGCGCCGTCGTAGTCGCTGTCGTAATCGCCGTCGTAGTCGTAGGCAGTACCGTTAGTCACACTTAATCTAGCTCGGTAAAATCTCCAACAGCCGATTACCTCGGCATTTACTTTTGCTGATATATCTGCAAAACATCTGTTTGTTAGCTGATATCTCAGCATAATGATATTTGTTAGCTGAGTCTCGGCAATTGTTTTACTGAATTTCAGCAAAATAAATTGCAGAACTACTCGGCTGTTGGAATTTCGGCGAAAAATTTTAAGTGTGTATATTTAAAATTAACCACCAACCGCTGAAAATATGAATTATCGCGTATTTCTGTTGTTCATTACATGCCAAGTAAAATTCGAGAACGTAATTTCATTTGAATAGCTTGTTCAACCAGGTCGAGTGAAAATGGATCTTAATGAAGGCCTCTTTCATAGCTTTTAGTTTTCGGATTTCAAAGATCGTCGGTTGCAGTGGCTTGCTTATTGAGCAGAAAAACGCGGTCCCAGATCCTTTCATATTAAAAATGTATGATTAGATCGCTTGTTTATCGTGTATTTCGTAAAACTTTTCGTTGTCGTCGGTGCCGGGTCTGAATAGTCATAAAAACTTGAGTAACGCTATAATGTGATATGAGGGGCTCGGTGGCCTTAGAACAACCGGTTTTGCTTACTGAGCAGAATATCATGAGTCTAATCTCAAGCCCATCCACATTCAAGATTCGTCAATCGTTTTATTTGTTAACATTACTACATGGTAATAACAGCAACTCGATGATAAAAAAGAGCTCGTCTGCCTAGTGGCAAACGTTTTTGCTTACTGAGCAGAAGACCGTGGGTTCAATCCCAAGCTCCTTCGCGTTATATGATTGTTAGGACATCAATTCAGCTTATCGTTTGCCAAAACGAACTCTGCTGCAGACCCAACCCTATTACCATAGAGGTAACTCTAAGACCACTGGGTCCCGAAGAAAATCATTATTATTTTTGGCTCACTCAGTACCAGAACAACGGTCCCAAGCAGTCCCAAGCTATTTCACTCACCCCTGCATGTTCTGCATGAATCCACACACCCCTGATGTTATCTGTCAAACTTTCATAGCGAATCAAAACAAACATAGTGTAGTAATAGAATTTCAACTAGAATAGGGTACGTTAATCGTTTGCTTGGGACCAATAGGCTACTAAAGTAGTGAGCCAATTTAAAATCGTTAGTTTCGTATTGATTGTTGCTATTACCCAATATCCCAGTGATTTCTCGTGGAAGTGCAGAGGTTTTCTCGGCTTCCATCAAAGCGAGTGTCACGTCAACACATTCCTACCCCTTCCTTTCTTGACCTGTGTTCGGGCGCGGCCGGCGCTGGTATTGCCTAGTTTGAGATCACCAGTTTTTACACATTGAGGATGATTGCTAGTCCCAAGCATCGTCTATTGGTTCTCTGTGTAATTACAGCTGGACTGGCAATAACAGAGTAGCAACCGTGGGCGGTCAATCATGCTCATGCTCATGCTCATGAACCCCGGAATTGAGGGAAAAGTACTTAATTTTGGGTAGTTTTTCATCTCCATGCAGGTCCTAAGTAGCATTGACAGATTCTCTTCGTCGACTTTCTCTTTCATCCCCACGGCCATGTAAAGACATTCTCACTTATTTTCAGCTCACAGATCGATAAAAGAAGCTTTTAAGTAGCATCTAATACGTCAACCAGATCAAGAAACGGTCGAGGAAACGGTTATGTGCTCAAGTTGTAAACGAAAGAGAAAGTCGATGAAAAGAATCGATCAATTTATATGAATAAAAAGAGTATTTATTGCTTGCTTTTCTTATGGGAAAAGTAAAGTAAACGCTTTTATTTATACGACCTAATGTTACATAGAACCTAATGCAATGTTCAGCTTGATGTATTTAAATGGATCATTTTAGATGGCTGAGTTTTGAACCCACCACAGCTTTCATTTGGCGCTACTGTATACGGACGAACCAATGTAAAGTACTGTGGTAGCCACAGTACGGTGCTGTAAAAACCTCAGCATCTTCAATGATCCATTAAGAATGTGTTATGAAAAAGTTTGAATCATTTTTATGAGATTGCAATGCTTGACGAGAGGTAAGAACAGTAACTGAGTTTGTTGCTTCTGAATGTTTGGCTCCCGTTTGACAGCTCTGACTGGCTCCCAAGTGACAAGCACATTGAGCTAGTCCGCAGCTCGGTCCGCAGTACACAGGTTTTTACGAATGCCAATGGAGACGATTTCTAAAAAAAAATATTGTGTGTGGCAGGATAGTTTCTCAAAATGAGATTATACCATCATCTATTCATTGTGTACGCGGTAACAGCAAAATCAAGCTGAACATTGCATTAGGTCCTAAGTAACATTGATGGATTCTCTTCGTCGACTTTCTCTTTCATTAATAACTTGAGCACATAACTGTTTCTTGTTGTGTTTGTCGTGTTAGATGCTAGATGAAAGCTTCTTTTATCGTTATAAGTGCTGAAAATACCTGATGAAGATGGCCGTATGGATACAAAGAGAAAGTCGACGAAGAGAATCGATCAATGTCACTTAGGACCTAATGCAATGTTCAGCTTGAAATACTCAATAATGAATATAAAGAGTGATACGGTCAAAATTTGGTCAATATCAACTTGACGTATTTCTTTCAATTTTGCATTTAAAAAACCTGAACACCCCTCATTTTGAAGGTGTGTGTGTGTAGAATGTTGCTCCTATTTTGATTTTGGAATTCACTCTTCAGTTGTCAAAATGCCGTCCAAGCAAGAAGAGCAGCGTATCAAAATTTTGCTCGCACATCGCGAAAATCCGAGCTACTCGCACGCAAAGTTGGCAAAATCGCTAAAAGTTGCCAAATCAACCGTTACAAATGTAATTAAAGTGTTTGGGGAACGTTTGTCGACAGCCAGGAAGTCTGGATCGGGGGGAAATCGAAAACCGGAAGCCGCTGAGACGACAAAGAGAGTTGCCGGTAGTTTCAAGCGAAACCCTAACCTCTCTCTCCGAGATGCCGCAAATAAGCTGGGTGTATCGTCTACAACCGTGCATCGAGCCAAAAAACGAGCCGGACTATCGACTTACAAGAAGGTAGTGACTCCAAATCGCGATGATAAACAAAATACGACGGCCAAAGCGCGATCCCGGAGGCTGTACACGACGATGCTGACGAAGTTTGACTGCGTGGTAATGGACGACGAAACCTACGTCAAAGCCGACTACAAGCAGCTTCCGGGACAGGAGTTTTATACGGCAAAAGGAAGGGGAAAGGTAGCAGATGTTTTCAAGCACATGAAACTGTCAAAGTTCGCAAAGAAATATCTGGTTTGGCAAGCCATCTGTACCTGTGGCTTGAAAAGCAGCATTTTCATAGCTTCCGGGACTGTCAACCAAGAAATTTACGTGAAAGAGTGTTTGAATAAACGTCTGCTGCCTTTCCTGAAGAAACACGGTTGTTCCGTACTGTTTTGGCCGGATTTGGCATCTTGCCATTACGGTAAAAAGGCCATGGAGTGGTACGCCGCCAACAACGTGCAGGTGGTTCCCAAGGACAAGAAACCTCCCAACACGCCAGAGCTCCGCCCAATTGAGAAATACTGGACTATTGTCAAGCGGAACCTAAATTTAATTTGATTTTTTAAATAAACGATTTCACCGATTTACACGCGTTTTCCCATGACCAAATTTTGACCGTATCACCCTTTAAAAGACTCAATATTGACTACAAAGTAAGCAATTTTCGAGAAAGATTGGGACGACTTATTAAATGAGTAAAAAAATATCCATTTATACGAGGGGAACGAAACAGATTTATTAAAAAAATTATGAAAAAAATATCTTTATTTTGATGAATCGATTTATATCTGAATAAATCCATTTTATCCGATGTAATATCTAAAATTATAAATATACACTGATAAATTAAACTATTTCCATTTTGCTTGAAATTTAACCAATTTGACATTAAACTCAGTTTAATCAACCGGTGAAAACTAACGATTTTAAATTGGCTCACTACTTGACTAGCCTATTGCCTAGCCTAGCCTAATCGATTAACGTACCTTATTCTAGTAAAAATTCTAGTACTACACAATGTGTGTTTTGATTCGCTATGAAACTTTGACAGATAAAATGAGGGGTTCGTGGATTTTCCTATGTTTCGCGGGGTGCATCGATTAGCTTGGGACCGAAGAAAGTTGAGCACGTTTTTTCGGGACCTACTACTCTTAGAGTTACCTCTATGGTTTAATCATATCGAATGATTAAAAATTAATACTATCTTTCTAAAAAATAGACATTTGATATTAAACCCAGTTTAAGGGGGAAATACAAGTAACACGTCAAAAACTCGACGATTTTTTTTTTTGTGAGCAAATGAAACAACGCAAACGATTGGGTTTTTTGCATTAAATTGCTTAAATCTTCCTCTACATTTGAGATTTTTTTTCATTGGTGTGTGACCTCTGTGGCTCCTTGGGGTCACATCGGAAGGAGGTCGCCTCCGGTGGGGATTGGTAATTGGCGGCCGTTCTAGAGACCTGAAAAATGGACAAAACTTACTTTTATCAATTGGAACTTATTCAGAAAAGATTTTTGTTCTATATGAACCTCTAAAACCCAAAACAAAACCGATTTAAAAATTTAGAAAAAAATATCTGAAAAAAAAGTTGGGTTTTCACTGTTTTTTTTCCACTTTAGGCAGATCTGAAAATAATTTATTGTTAATTTTTTCATGATATCAGTGGTTCACATAGAGATAAAATCTATTTCCTTTAAGATGCGCCAGGTTTCAAGTCATTTGGATGAGAACTTTTTGAGTTATCTTTCCCGCAAATTTGGAAAACACCGTTTCGAGAAAAACGCGTTTAAAGTTTTGGGTTGTGTAAAACATGATTTCTGGAACTCACGGTTAATCGGTGATACCGGGGCCATAGATCACTCCTTCCTCGTGCTCGTAGCATTTAAAAAAAATTAAAGTAAGATATAAAAAAATCGATAAAAAAAATTTTTACTTGTATTTCCCGGTATTTGATTAGATTGAAAATTATCTTTTTATAATAAATTTTAATCATTTTTGATTCTATTTTAATAATTTTTGATTGCATTTAAATCTTTTTTGATTATACATTAATATTCAATAAGAATAAAATTTAATACTGGAAAGATTATTTCGAATTTAGGACTACTTTCTTTCTTTTGCAATTTGCATATAACACCGACGGAGTGCACATTCCAAGTGCTGGGTGACTTAAAGATGATCAGTGACATGGGACGCGAATGTCCTCCCAGAAAAGCAGGGGAATACAATAAAATTTGTTTTCGTTGAAGGATGTATCACAACAAAGGTAATTTAGATGCATAATCCCACCGGTGCCCTTAGATTTTTTCGCAAATTTTCTCACACGCACGTCTCTTGCCGATGATATGTGCTAACCTCTCAGTATCTTCTAACTGTCGCATATAAAAAAATAAAAAAAAAAATTGACTTTCAGTCGCTAACCTAAATCGATGCATAAAATAAATTTACATTTATAGCACAAGAAACAAGGAAATGGGAAAATAAACGTGAACATCAAGGTACGATGGAGACTCACTCATCACATTGGAACAACCAGATAAGTACACTTGCTTTTTATTTTATTCTACACATATATCCCAATCATTTTATTACTAAATACGTGCCAGAATAAAAAGTTTTTTTTTCTGGAAGTGAGAATACACTTGTGTATTTTTGCGGGGCTTATTGTATCAGAAAATGACCTCAGAATGTACGTGCAGAAACAGGCATTCTTGAAATGGGTCGTTTGATGTACGATAGAGCTGTCACCTTCCATCTCCAGGGCTAAAAATATTTGCACATTCGACATACAGAAAATGCAGATAAGTTTCTTCCATAAAAACTCTGCCGGTACAGAGGGCGATGGATTGTACTCACACACACACACACTGCTGAAGTAATCATGGCTCGGACTCAATCTCGTGTTTGTCGGTGTGACTACTGCCGAATTAATCATGGCTCGGACTCAATAAAGTGAAGCGGGAATCTGCATACTTTTTAAGCTTTTTTGATTTATCTCTGAATGAATGTTGTTCACATGGTAACCAGCGTACACACATTAATGCGTAAAATTTCACACATTTCGTGAAAAAAGGGGTCTACTCATAAAATGTGTAAACTGCGTTTACACATTTATGTGTAAACCCATCAAACGTCAATAGATGTGTATTTTTTACACATTTTTCAAGAACGATTTTTACTGCACAATGTGTAAAAAGTAATCATTCAAAGAAATTAAATATGATAAGGACGCATGGTTTTTTTTATTAATATCGGAGTTTTCTAATTTGTGTCAATGATCAAATAAGATCAATCTTTATTTAATAATATTTTATTAAAAAAAAATCACAGCCAGACACCGGACAATGAAAACTAGGACTTAGCTAAGAAAATAATATAAATCACTTACCCTCTAGCTTGGCCACCGTTGCTCTGTTACAGTTTAGACCGTAGTTTCTTCATTTTTCTGTTAAAATTGCTGAAAGTTTTTCGCTTAGGCAAATGGCGTCCATCAACGAAGCAGAAGTTTTTTTTACCCATTAATGAGTATAAAAAAACACATTTTTTGATTGGTACTACATTCTTAAAATGTGTATTTTTTACACACTTTAAGATCTCCAAATTTACACATTTTTTGACAGGCATATATACACAGAAAATGAAACTTACCCAAAGCTTGAGTTTAAACAACTCAAATTTAAGTAAAACCGTTATAGTATCCCATTGGGTAAAAATCAATGTGTTATGATGGTTAATTTCAACTCAACGGTTGAGTAATACGTATATTACCCAAAGATGAGTAAAAACAAAAAGGAAATTTGGTGGGCCTAAATTTACTCAACGCTGAGTAACTTACTATAAAGCTTGCGTTGAGTGAAAATAACTTTGAGTTGGATGAAAAAAATGCCACGACGACGCCATTAGTGATTTTGCTCCCTTCGAATGAAGTTCAACGCATGTGTCGTCCGGAAGTTTTTCTACCGCCATCGGTTCTGTTTTTCCCGAGGTTATTCTCCCGTGAACTGGTTCCTTCGAGACCTCATTCGAGACCATCGGTTGTTCGATTCCGAACTCTACGTAACCTGGTGAGTCGCAAATCTAAAGCGCTAGTGGAGCAGCACATTAATAATTAATTTTTTTTAGGTATCCCAGTACTTGCAGCTTCCACCACGACTGTTGATCTGGTTCTTTCTAGTGACCCCGGTGTGCCGTAGAAGCCAACCGTTTCGTTATTTTCCCATGAGCCGGTTCCTTCGACACCATCGATTGTTAAAAAATAAATAATAATAAATTTGTTATTGTCTTCACGGATTTTATTGTTTTTGATTTTTAACATTAGGAATAATTTCGTGCTCGTTATACTGCAAGCGTCCCTTGTCTTTATAATTAATTTCGGGGAAAAAAGTGCCCGGTAAAAAACGTACCGTTGAGTTAAATTTACTTTAAAATAGGTTATTTATCAGGAAAAAAACCCGGTAAAAAAACTCATGGTTGAGTAAATCCGACCCAACGCTAGGTTTTTTTATTCGGAAAAAGTCCCCGGTAAAATAACCTATCGTTAAGTTAAATTTACCCAAAATTAGGTTTTTCCTTATTGATCAAATTTACCCACTGCAGTCTTTTCGATAATTTACCCAAAATTAGGTTTTTTCATGTTTACCCAAAATTAGCTTCTCGTACGGAAATTCGAGGTTGAGTCTAAAGAACTCTAATTTGGGTAATTTTTTTATTTCTGTGTACACAGAAATTCAAAACAACCCAAAATTAAGTTCTTTTCACTCATCTCCCATGTTCCGTACAATAAGCCAAATTTGGGTAAACCGACTCAAAGTAGTTTGCATTTAAGCACGGCAAAAAAAATTACCCATCGCTAAGTTATTTTCAATTTTTTCTACCCAAAATTAAGTTCAATTAACTCAAATTTGGGTATATCGCATATTACTCAATTTTGGCTTCTCGTACGGAACTAGACGGTTGAGTCGAATCTTTTGTTCTATTTTTGACAACAATAGTGAGAGAAAATGAAAAGGGCTGAGGTCAAATAACTCAAATTTGAGTTTAAAAAACCCAAGCGGTGGGTAGTTTTGTTTTCTGTGTATATAAAAAATGTGTATTTTACACACATTTATGTGTTTACGCTGGTTACCGTGCATTTCTCAACTTGTCACTCCCAACACAGTTTACCCATTTTTGGGTAGGTTCAGTTTGGACCGATATGAGTGGATTCTACTATCATGTCGATTACAAATATATTTGATCAAATTTCAACACCCCTCGACTAAACTGACAAACAAGACCGTTAAAAACAAACGAATCAAATATGGACCACTTAGGTCTGTGCCACAAATGAGAAAAACAAACGAAAATAAAGAAAATCGAATTTTGAGCAAATCGGCGGTGTTGATAAAAGTGATTTTGTAAATTAAATCGTTCCCGTAAATTTGCTTCCTGTAGATTAGAACATTTACCGACGATATTCAATAGATAATAAAGCAAAATGATATCGGATGCTTTAGGTGATTTGGAAAAATGTGTAAGTAGCCAGATACGTTTCGTTTGAATGAAGTTTGACGGCATCATCGGAATTACTGCAGGTAGATACAGCGGGATCGCAGCTCGATTCTCTGGCACTTAAGATTACCGACGTCGAGAAGAATCTGGACGACAATGATATGGAAGGCTTGGAAACTGGAATGATGGAATTGCTAGAATCAGTCACCGAAGTGAAAAACGAATACCAAAATCTCCGCAAGGATCTGCAAGAAGTACAGCAACTACAAAAGGAAATGACATGTTCGCTCAGGTATCAGTTACGCACTATGACACAAACTTTCCATGTATTAAAGAAAAAGATCGAAGCAAACAATCTACCCATAACATCGCTTCCACTTCCATCGTCATCCACCAAGCAAATCCCCCGAGAAGGTGGAAACATAGCAGCAAAAACACTTAACCGTAACAGGAATTGAAACTCATTTAGCTTCATCAAGCAGTTTTTTTGTTTTTGTCGCCTGTCGAATAAGTTGGCCTGCAGCATTCTCCTCCTCTGGACTGATTATGTGTGTATCACTTTCTTCCTGATCGTTGCATAGTTGCGTTTTAGTGCTACCTCCTATTATTATTAGTTGTTAGTCATCTCCATTTCATCAACAACTGATCGCAATCGTAATAGAAGCTGCCACAAATATGACAAGGCCTGGCGAGTTAAACACGGTCAGCTCATATCTACATCTTTCATCTTCGTGCAATTGCAACCCTTCACCTTTTCCGATAGGTATATTTAGAATTAGTTTATGATAATGTCGCGTTCTAGGATAAGCCACTACTCGCTCGTACAGTGAAATACCGGCAAATTTCCCCAAATGACGAGAAAAAATCCTACCAACTGCAAAGCTTTTAAACTCTTCATCTATTATATGTGAATTTTTGTTTTTACACAATAATGTTATTTATTTGCTAGTATATAGGGAAATGAAGATCATACACTACTATCACCCCTATTCAGTATTCCATTCGAAACGGAATAGAGAATAGGGGTGTAGATATATATTCTTTGTGTGTTTACGAAAAGCTAGCCAATGCATCGCAAAGGATACAAAGCTCCAAAAAGGAAACCTAACATTCTATCATCCAAGCAAAACGAAAAAGCTCTTTCATCATATTCATGACATATTACAGCATTGACAGCATTGTTTCGTGCTTCTTTTTTTGTACAATTTATACCAGATCTTTTGGAAAGTCTGGAAGACGAAACATTCTATGTCTAGATACCACAGATGACTGACAAAGATAGTGCCCTCTTTTTGTGGAAGCTGGTATGTATGTGTGCAAGAGTGTCTGTGCGAAAATCTTATTGAAAGGCTAAGAAGGTACTAAAAAAATCAGTCCGCTGGAGAGCTGCTCTCCGACCTATAACATTTAGATCTTTTCTTTATCACGACGTTAAACCATAACCATCACCTATAGATGATTTCTTTTACTCAAATCATCATAACTGCATATGCGTGCTATGTTGATAACGTAAGGTCGCCATTCACCATTCATGCTCCCGTCACCGCTCACTGTATACGTATTATCATAATTTGCATACAATTACAATTAATACCAATAACTCCCTCCCCATGGACATGGAGGTTGACGGTACTGAAGCAAAGGGTTATGTTTAATTTCTTTATATTTGCAACGATGATGATTTCCCATAGTGACACATATCACCTTCTTAATGCTTCAGTATACTACCCATAATCGCATATCAGTCCCATCTTTGCTTGATTTCCTATCCATATGGGACTGATATGCGATTATGGGCAGTATACCTCAAACGATTAATTCTTGGTTGTTAATAGAACTTCCTTGATGCAATCGGCTGCTTCATGCAGACTGAGCAATTCTGATTATAGTATCAGATTTGTTCTGTATACAGAGGAACTGGGAGGGCTTATTAGAAACTTCTCACCAATAAAGTAATGACCTTCTAGTAAATTTTGCATATCATTTTATTAATATTTTATTTTATTTAAGCATATTATTTTTGTTACAGTCAATTAGCTAATACAATACAAGAGATTTAATATTACTTGCTCGGTTTTGCGTAAATAATCAATATGTATTTTGCTTGTAATTACCTTTGAATTTTTTTTTGTGATTTCAAAATTTTCCTAGTTTGGTTAGAAGTTTCGAAGCTAACACATGTCCACAGGCCTAATAGAAAGATAGACAGACAAAGCGTATCATGAAGAATAGTTGCATGCAGGGTTGCTTCCACTCACTTTCTATAGATGAGTGATTTTCGGAGTTTTGAATTCGTTAGATGTTGTAATGGAGGTTTGTGTTGTTGGATGCGGGAGGGTCCAGTATTGCCAGCGTACCTGGAACTCGTGAATGTTGTCTGTTGTCAACAGGTGTGGACGTAGCGACCAAAAACCACGACCAGGTTCGCGGCTTGATTGAAGAAGACAAATTCGCGTTGTTACGGCTTTATGGTCAGAAAAACAGCAAACATGCGCATCAGCTGTTCTCAGCTGACTTCGTAGACCCTGGCTAACGTACATACGGTCTAGGCGAGAAGATGAGTTGTGTGTAATGTACGTGTAGCCCGGTATATCTGGACAGAGTTGTTCCCAAACATCGAGGAGCTGCAGCTGCTGTACGGTTGCGAGGAGAGCGGGGCTGTGATTGTATCCCGTTGCATCACGTTGCCGTAGAACACAGTTGAAATCGCCAGCTATCAATGTGTGCTCTGTGCGATGTCGGAGATAGTAAGGTCCCGGTTGTTTTGCCACATTGGCATACGTGTACGTTTTTTGCACAAGCAATTTTTTGTCTTGTACACAAGAGATGCCATTGTGTATGTCACACTCGTTGACTGACCGTCGATAGTGATGTTGCGCTTCACCATCATGCGCGCGATGCGAGCGCCAGTGGGACGCCCAGCAAAGCGATATTTGCTATCCCATACATGATCGGTGACCGAGAGCACTTCACCGTAGGCGCAGATAAATTCAGTAATTTGTTCGTTTGTGATACTTTCGGACAGGTCCGTCAGCTTCACCTCAACCGCCCGTCCTCCATTGTGATCCGAAGTTTATAGGTTTTGCCGTCTACTTCGGTCTCGTGCTTGTTGCCGTGCTCTGCTACAATTCTCCGCGCTAGCTCTAGGTTGACGACCTTCACAAAGGCGCATCCAAATACTTGGCTGGAGACGAAGAATGTCACGGACGGAGTCTTAATCTTAATTTTGCTATTTCCCTAGTAGAAACGCGAAGGTTAGAATTGCCCGTCACGACGATATAGTTAAAGGGCGTAATTAACTTTACCGTAATACGAGAAGTTCGGAGCTTCTTTTTTAGAGACAATTTCAAATGCGTGTGCACTAGAAATTATCTTACCTTCCATACAATGAGATAAGGCTGGGAAGGGACTAGTACCATACTACGTTGTGGCCTATCTTCCACTTTCCGGGAGACTTATTTCATTGGAGGAAATGCAAAAGGCTTCCAAAATAGTCTTTTCCTTGGTTAAAAATTCTCTTGCAACTCAGAGAGCCAAAAGAGAATCAATTCCTCAGAGAAGTTGATTTCTATTTCGACTGAAGACTGGGAACGGCCTAGTACCAAACTATGTTGAGGTCTATGTTCCAATTTCCGAGAGTCTTAAATTGAATAGAAATATTTGGGGATAATTTTCGAAGTGTTCACATGAGAAGTACAACTACGACTGAGTAAAAGCATCGAAAAGCATCGTTTATTCAGTGAATCTGGATTCCTTATATAGTAAAAATTTAGGCCTGAGTTTCCCACTTAAGGGGGTATTCCCGATCTTTTTTTTTCAAAAAATCAAATTTTTTTTTTTCACGTTTTTTTGTACTTTAGACTATATACTTTCATCCCCCCAAGCCGTTTTCCGATCAGCGAATTCGGTGTCCAGGCATAGCTGACTAATGGTAAGAACCCCCAAATGGTTTTAACTAAAGTCAAAACTTTAAACGCGTTTTTCTCGAAACCACATTTTTTTTATCGGGCGAAGATTTTTCTCAGAAACTATAAGAGATATTGACTTGAATCTTTGCGCATTTTGTTCCTTATTAAATTCTTTGGAGCTTCTCCCACTTTCAGCCAAAAATATTAACATTTAACATTGTTTGAAGCACCTTAAAGTTGCAAAAAAGCGGGCTAAAAATCGCCTGTTTTTTCATATGGCCGCCATTTTGTTAATTTGCAAGATTTTTTGCTGCCAACGGGAGAAGCTCCAGAGAATCTTATGCAGATTATTATTTCATCACGAAATCTGTTTCAGATGAAGCCGTTCCAGAGAAAAGCCTTCGCCCGTCCAGGCGTTTGCGGCGAACAGGGGTCTGTTTGTCGCCATTTTGTGACGTCAATAATGTCTTTTTTTATGTCGAAAAAAATTTATTTGTAAACTTTAATGTTCAATAAACAAGAATCCCAAAGAGTTAGGCGCATTACTATTCATTTTCTTTGAAAAAAAAATTAATTGAAAAACAGGCCGAAAAAAGGCAAAAGATTGGGAATACCCCCTTAAGTCTAAGGCAAAAGAGAGATGCCAGATTTTTGTTCATCCTAGTTAGGAGTTTTCCTTTTTGCTTTTCCATTAACCAAATGTAACCATACGTGGTCTATAAATTTGTTTAACTTAGCGTGGGTCGTTTTACTTATTTCATTCTTCGCTCAACTGGTCCAGCCGCTCTGTAATACACAAACATATTTTTTTGGTATCGTTTTTATTACCTAACCTCAATCGTCGCTCTGGGTCTCATGCTAGTCACCTTGCCAGTTCTATAACACGGCTTCTTGCAGTAGGTTATTTCCAACTAGACGTTGGTCCTTTACCGCTATTTTCGTGGGACTTGCTATCGCCTATGAACGAATCCACTTGAGATCGCATCATGCTGTTCTTTTTCTTTTAAGCATGGTCCGCCTACACACGCTCATAGCATTGATCTCTCCTTGCTGAAGATTCACTAGCTGAGCCGGCGCGGTTAAGTCGTGAATGTTGTATTGAATTTTCTTACTCTCCTGCCACGCTCTTATTAGAAGGAAAAGGGATAGAGCCGTTATAGCACATTCGATCATTGGAAACTGTTTTTTCGGTATTCTTTGTCTATTTGTCCTTCCGAGAATAATCGTTCTGTTTTGGTTCATGTTTTTTGCTACTACTCCAAACCTAACAAGGTTTACTAATTTGATGATTATTATTGTTTTGTTCTTAAATTTACTGTAAGCTCAATATCGCGTTCGTAACAAAGAACTTCTTCGTATTGTAGACCCAATTCGGTAGCAACAAAGTCATGAAGCTGCTCATCGTAGGATGGCTTCTTCGGCACGTTCGAATAATCGATGCGAAACGTGTTTTCACGTCGAACACTCATCGCGGCGATAATCGCGACGAAAAGAGCACGCGAAAACAACCATTAAAACGAGGCGAACCGAAAATTGAAAAAAATATAGCTTGCGTGTGGCTTCTAGGGAAATAAAACGTCTGCTCCGCTTGGAAGTTGAGCGCTAACTGTCATAATGAACACATGGTCCAGATTTTTAAGATATTTATCTGGTGAAGCGTTGCTACTTCCGAATAACACCCATCCTAATTGGGTTTTTGGAGCGATAGGTTCGTTGAATCCGCCACCGCTCTCTTCAAGTGTTTTGAAAAGATAAGCGTGTGGCAGTCCCAATAGAATGGTAGGATTTGCCTTTTTATATGAATCGAGTGGAATTCCCTTAAGATAGGGATGTTTTTATTTCATTGTTCGGGCATCTAGTGATTGTACGGGTAAGGAGAGATTCGACATGGTATTTAATTCCTTTAGCAGGAATCTTTTCCCATTCGCTCCCTCTATTTTTAACTGCACGACCCTGCTATCGACTTCGTCTTGAATGTCGCCGTTAGTCCAGGCGAAAGTTACGGAATTTGGATTTCCCTTTAAGTGTAGTTCGTCCGCCGTAGTTTTGTTAATCAAACTGACGGAAGATCTAGAGTCAAAAAATATATGTGTTTGTACACTGTTATCTTTATTAAACAAGGTTATCGGCAGTATCTGATAGAAAACTCTGGTTTGTTTCTCCTTATGGCAGTTAACATGCGCTGTTGTTCTGTTGGTTTCCGTTTTATTGGCTTCTTCCCCTCTGGTATGCAATAAGCGGTTGTGGTTACTCTTGCATTCGTTTATATTGCAGATCCTTTTTGACTTGCAATTGTTTACCATATGGTTTGATCCACAGCAGGAGAAGCAAAGTTGTTTGTTTTTAACAAAGTCTCTTCTTTTGTCTACATTCATTTTTCTAAATCCCTCACATGTTGTTAGTTTGTGGTTTTTCCCGCACTTGAAGCACTTAGAAGGGCTTCTTATGTCGTGATAATTTATTCTGTCGGGTTTTTCAAATTTGAACGGTTTATCATTCCTGTTGCCCCTGTCTGCTATCAGCGTGGTAGCTAGTTTCTCTTGAGGCTCTAACCAGGCATAAAATTCGCTGACGTTTGGCGCCAGAAACGGGTTTAATGAGGTAGCTTGCTCCTTCTCCTCGTTAAGGTACGCCAGCCCACTTTTGGTAGAGGTAATTAGGAAGCCTTTTGGCTAGATCCCTTACTAATCTGGGATCGTTGAGGTATTCCTCATGATCCAGACATTTCATATTTATGACTAGATTTCCTATTGCGGAAATAAAGTCTATCATCGTTTTTGGCATGTCGAACCTGGGATTTCCCAGTGGAAGTACCTCTTGCAATAGTCCATTATACACTAGTTCGACACTACCGAACTGATTTTCTAACTTTGTTATGATTGAATTCACATTGTTGGAGTCTATTAAGAGCGAACTTACTGCTCTTAATGCTTCACCTTTGAGACTCTTCTGTAAAGGAGTCAAATTTTCTAAATCGGAAAAATTTCCTTGTTCGGTAGTTTCCAGGAAGGTATGTTTGAACCTGGACCACACTTTATAATTTCCATCGAAATACGGCAGTTCCATTAGGGACTGTCTTAAAACTTGGCGCTCAGCCGGGGATTTTCCACCGGTATTTATTTCTTTTATTTTGTCAATAATGGCTTCAAAAACTTCAACCTGAGGCTCTTGTTTGGTTTGTTGGGATGAAACTTCAGAAAGTTTAACTACCTTTTCTTCTAGGGCCTTAAATTCGGCCTTAATTTTAGAGCACTTGATGCAAGACCAAGGCTCTTCTGATTGTGGTTGGTGGGTTAACTTTCCACAAGACAAATGGAACCAGCGATGACAATCATCGCATCGAACCATGTCTTCCGCGTTATCCTTTTGTTGTCAAAGTTGACAATTGCCATTTTTATTTACCGTAAAGTTAAAGTCCATTTTTTCTGGTATTTTTCTTTTATATATAACTTTTGGATGTGTTTTAAAAAAACACTAGTTAACTGTACTGAGGTCTAAAACCAACTGAACTGATTTATTGAATTATATTATAACCAAACCTACCGAAGCCCTATCAATCAGCTGAGTAAGATAAATTTAAAGAGGGAACGTGGTCGCCGTGTTGCTGTTGCAAGGGCGACAAAACTGCTGAGGTGTCTTCCGTCGTTGGCGGGTCCAAGGGTTGGTGACATCGTTAGTTGGTGGTGAAACTGCTGAGGTGTCTTCGATCGTTGGCAGGTCCAAGGGTTGGTGACATCGTTGGCTGCCGGATGACCATTTGCTGATGTAGGAATATGCCTTACTCGTTACTGAGCTACCTTAGTGTTGCTGGGGAAGAATTGCTGATGCTTGGACTTGGGTGCGGGTTAGTGATCGTGCTAACTGCTATGCCGATTGCTGAGTCTTAGTCGTCGTCATCGGCGTTGGTGTTGTTGTTGTTGTTGGTATGGATGATGACGATGATGACGATAATAGAGATGTACCAATGAAGTGATTGGTTGCTGTTGTTGCTAATGGTATGGATGACGGTGATGATGATAATAGAGATGCACCGATAAAGCGGTTGGTTGTGGTCCAAGAGGGTTCGTTCTTAACTACTCCCCCTTTTGAAGACGAATCGTCCCGATTCGCTGAGATGCTTCTGGTTTCGAGCGGTCCTAATTGTTTAGACTCCTTGGATGTTCCAATGTAAAGAGAAATTTGTTTGCGTCTCCTTGATATCCAAAAAAGGCCTGTAATGATACTTAAAAGGATACAGATTGTCGACATACTTAGTGATGTGTATGTCCGGATGTTGTGTTCCTTTGTCAATGTTTCGATGTAGTGCCTGTTTCTTATGTGGATTTCATCGATGTTACGAACTTCCAGGGTCTTTTCGTTAATGTGCAAACCGTTCAGAGGCATTACAAATGTCGGTTCTGACTTAAAGGCTTCGACGTTGTTGTATCTGGTGCCATTTATAAAGATGCTGCAGTTGTGAAACTCGATCAAATATGTACCGGATATGTTTCGTTTGGTGAGTCCACAATTCGAATCTACTTCGATGTCCTGAGTGTTTGTAGTTACGATATGATTGTCCGTGATTCTTCTTATCTCCGTAGGCTGAAGGCATTTTACGAAAGTACAATTTCCTGATAGTCCTCTCAGCAAATTTGAGTAGCACGAGTCTTCGGTTGCATCTATGAGGTTGTTAATGTTACACAGTCTCGTCTTCTCGATGTTTAGGCATTTCTCCTTGATGAAGTACGTCTTGTTACCATTATGCAAAGCAACACTGGCTGGTGGTTTCAAAATTTTATCTGATATTGGAAGAGGTTCTAGTAAAAATTCGGTATACGTAGAGTTTTCTAATCTTGGAATTGAAACTATAAATATTATTTTTGAATTGTTATAATATGCTGATAAATCAAGAAACTCGTAGATTTGCTCTATGCTGTGTGGTCTAATATTTTGCTGTTCTAGGATATTTGAAACAAATCCTAACTCTTCGACTGATAGTATTTGTTTTGGAATAATATTTACTTTAGCTAGTTGCACTGATTCAAACAGATCTTCAAGGTGGGTCTTCAGGTTATCTAAGTTGTAATTGATCTTTATAATTTCCCTGAATATTTTAAAATTTTTGTTGATTTCTGTCCCTAGCAAATTTAATAGTCCTCTCTTTCTTCGTTGCTTTGGTGGAAGACTGTTAAAGATGCTATAAACAGATTCATATTTTGTTTCTAGTATTTTTACATGTCCGTAAAATTTGGAAAGTGTCGTATTCCTTGAATATTCGTGAGCAGTTTTCTAAAAATAGGGTCGTAATTATCCAATTCTATGATGTGAAAAAGTTTATGACTGCCTAGTTTTATAAAACTGCTGCCTGTGTCTATGGTGAGAAGGCCAGTGTTTTGTTTCAGGTTCTGGATATGGATGGATTGTGGATAGGATAGTTGGATATACAGGAACGCAATGATTGTGGTTAAGAATATCCGAATTGGTATCATCTAAAAAGAGAAAATAGAGAGAGTTAGAATTTTGAAAAACTATTTCCGGATACGGCGAAGTTTTTCTTTGTGTAATCGTCGTTTTTTTGTATCTCTGTATGTGCGTCTTCTGTTATATTTAACTTGTATTTGCTGAAAACGGTCTTTAGTTTTAGATTTAAATCCTTGAATTTTATTGTATACCATTTCGCCGCATTGTAGAGTCGGTGGTTTTTCTCTACTGCTGTTGTGGTACTTGTTTTGTTGGTCCTGTGTTTCCTTGAGTTTTAGTGCTGCTTCATCGTATAATTTGTCCCTTAGCTGGATCATGTTATCTATATTCAGAGGTCGCTCTTCTCCAGTTTTGATTCCATAAAAGATTTCGCGGGGCTTAAGGTTGGTAGCTGTATGGATACTATTATTATAAAGAGTATGTACATGCAATTAGAAATTTCTCTTTGTTTGATAATTCTCCGTATTTATGTTTGTTGGAATTGAAAATTTCAGTTATGGTGGAATGGAATCTTTCTACTATTCCATTCATTTGGCTATGGTTTGAAGGGGTGAAATACTGCTGTATATTCAAATCTGAAAGCAATCCTCTTACTTCTATAGATTTTATGGCAGGTTCGTTGTCAGAGACAATCATTGACGGGGTGCCATACAGGGTGATGTATTTGAGAATCGCTTTGCGAACGTCTAGAGAATTTGTCAACCACGGAAAGGAAAATGTTGGGTTGGGCGATGTAAATATCTATATGAATAATTTCGAGGGGTTGTTTGGGGATCGGCGTTTCTCCGAGTTTAATTCTGTAGGGCTTCCTTTCGTACTTTGCCCTATTACACATTTCGCATAGAATTATAAATTTTCTAATTTTTTGTTTCATGTTTGGGAAGAAGAATCTTCTTCTTATTTCCTCAAGATTCTCGCGAATACCTCTATGAGCAGACTCATGAGTATCTTCTATTATTGAGTTTTGTTCCTCTGCGTTTGGTAAATCGATTAAAAGCTTTTGAGAAATATAAATTTTAAATGTCTTACATCGACTGAAATAATTTTTGAAGACAATCTGTAAAGATTGTATTACTGATTCTGGGCATAAAATACAATTAGATCTTCTCGGGTCCATGTATTCCTTAAAAATTTGAATCAGTGAGGAACACCGAAAGTAACTTTCGTTATTGTCCGCCGATACACGCGAGAAAATATTTCCTCATACGTTTCGGATTCATTAGGATCGATTTTCAATATTATTTGGTTGTGAAAAAGGTTTATGGGTTTTTCGGTACATTGAATAAATTCGGAGTCATCAGTGTCAGCTGAGTGTACTGTAGCTCCGTCTGAGTCGGAATCATCTTCATTCAAGTTCAGTTCGTGAGATATTCTTGATAGAGCATCGGCGACAACATTTTGTTTGCCGGGTCTATGTTTTATTTCGAAATCATATTCTAAAAGCTGTAGACGCCATTTTACGAGCTTTGTATTTGGAGTTTTGAGGTTTAGCGCGTATGTTAGCGGTTGATGGTCAGTGTACAACGTAAACCGTCTACCAAAAAGATAGGGTCTGAAATATTGTGTTGACCACACGATTGCCAATAGCTCTTTTTCTATGGCTGAATATCGTTCCTCTGTTTTTGTTAATGTTCGGGACGCATACGCTACCGGCCTATCTTGTCCTATAGGTCCTTGAGACAGTACGGCTCCCAAAGCAAAATGGCTGGCATCCGTAGTCAATACAAACGGTTTCTCAAAATCCGGGTATTGTAGGATGTCACTATGTGTCCACAGGTTTTTACATGTGTTGAATGTTTTTAAAAATTGTGGTGTATGTTCGACATTCTCGCCTTTTCTAAGTTGGGTGGTAAGGGGTTTCGTGATTTTTGCAAAGTCACGAACGAAGCGCCTGTAATATCCCAAAATACAAACAAAGCCTCTGAGTTCTTTCTGATTCTTTGGAATAGGCCAGCTTTGTATGGCTTCGATTTTGCTTGGATTTGGCTTAACGCCATTATCCGTAACAATATGACCTAGAAAAGCGACTTCTTTTTTCAAAAAATTCGCTTTTATCTAGCTGTATTTTAAGATTTACCTTTTCTAATGCAGTGAAAATTTTTGTCAAATTTTCAATGTGTTCTTGAAGGGAGACCGAGAAAATGCTGATATCGTCCATATAGACGAGACAACATTTCCCGATAAATTCGCGAAGTACGTTATCCATTACCCGCTGAAAGGTCGCTGGCGCGTTTTTCAGTCCGAATGGCATCCGTAAATATTCGTACAAGCCATGTTCTACAGAAAAGGCTGTTTTTTGAACATCATTTGCATGGACTTCAATCTGGTGGAAGCCAGATGCAAGATCCAAAGTTGTGAAATATTGGCATTTTCCAAGTTTGTCCAATATTTCCGTAATGTTTGGGAGTGGGTACTTGTCGTCTATAGTTTTCTCATTGAGCTTCCTATAGTCTACGACCAAGCGCCATTTTTGTTGTCCTGAAGCATCCAATTTCTTTGGCACAATCCATATTGGAGAGCACCAAGGAGATGTGCTGGGACGGATTATACCTTGTGAAAGCATTTTGGTTATTTGTTTCTGTACTTCTTCCTTGTGACAATAAGGGTACCTGTAGCTTTTCGAATGAACTGGGAGTTCATTATTGGTTTCGATTCGGTGCTTAATAACATTCGTAAATGTAAGATCGTCACCTTCCAAATAGAATACGCTAGGAAATTTAGAAATTAAATTAATTAATTTCCGTTTCTCCTCTTCGTTTAGGTGATCTATACGAAGTTGACTTCTCAATCTCGCGTCGATCGATGTATTTTCGAAAACATAGCCTGGTTCGTACTTGGGTACGTTGCGAACGATTTCAAAATTATTAAGTTCTGAAAAAATAAGTCTTTGAGGACTAATTTTGACAGGGACCTCACAGCAGTTCTTCAAAAGCACTGTAGCTTTATTGTTTTCAGCTGTGTAGAGTCCTGGGAGAACCATTACTTCTTCCGTTAGAGGAAGTGGGTGCTCGACGTAAAAGTCACCATTGGATACATTTGTTTTTAAGGATAATGTTATTTCTTCATACGCGTTCAGATTGCAGTTAAAGGAATCTGGGTATTTTCGAAGCATTTGTATCGAACATGTTGGGAGTTTAACGGCGGCGGTGGTGTAGTGGTAAGCGTGATTACCTCTCACCCCAGCAGGCCTGGGTTCAATCCCAGTCGGCGCCGCCGGGATGTTCTGAGGCATAACATCTCTGATCACGCCTTCCATCGGATGGGAAGTAAAGCCGTTGGTCCCCGGTTCATGAGTTGATGGGTCGATAGGTGGTAGGGTCCAGGTGTGGGAGCTGCCTTCCTGGCACGTCGGTAGCATTGGTGCTCAGCACGGAAAACAAAATCGACGGAAAAAAAAACAAACCAGAGGAACAAAAAATGTTGGGAGTTTTAAAGTATTTGATGCTGTTAAAATTTCGGCTTCCAGATCTCCAAGAGATTCGTAACCAATTAATCCATCGAAGAAGGAATGGAATTTCAAGGCGTAGAATTTCAATGGTTTTTGGAATATTTATAGTTCAACATATTTATCAATATTATGTTGTCCATTGATGTTTTTAACCTTGGTTGGAATACAGCTTTTTATTTCCTCCGATTTCATTTTTTCGGGATTTAAATAGTTTTTGTTGGCACCGGTGTCAACCAAAAACTTGAATTCGCCTAATGTTGTGGGTATCATCACGTACGGTAAGAAATTGTTATTCCCTATATGTTTTGTGTTTCCTGTGGCTCTGATTGAAAATTTATACAATCAATTTCCGGGTTTGATGTATTGCTTTGTTCTGTGCCAAAATCATTTTGGTTATCATTATGGATGGAGTTGTACTGATTTTCGTCATCATTACAAATGGGGTTATATTGGAAATAAGAAGGGTCAGAATATTCACTATAGTAATTTACTGGTTCATTCCAATGCATTTCATGCCATTGCGGACGATTCATGTAGTTCACCTGTCGACTTCTTATCGAGTGATCTACTTCCATTGGGGTAGGTCGTTGGAAACGTTGTGTTCCGGAATTTGGTAGGTTTGTGTTATTGGGTTGAGGAAAAGGTGGGTTTAATGGGGATGGTTGTTGGGGTCTTGGGGAATGGAGGGGGGTTGGAGGTAAAGCGCGTTGGAAAGGGTTTGGTTGGGGGGTTTGCGCTCTGTAGAAATTATTAGGGTTGACAAACGGTGGGGTGTATCGGAAAGGGTTAGTTTGTGGGGTTTTGGGATAGAAAGAATTATGTGGAAAAGGATTAGGTTGGAACTTTGGCGTATATGGAAATGGGTTGAAACTATTATTTTTTATTTGAAATTTATTTCGTACTGGTATAGGTGGTGGGGTGGGTTTTTGTTTATGATAATGGAAGTTTCGCTCCTCAAGGCATCTTCTGAGAGCGTCCTTCAAGGATGATGGACATTTTGCCCTTATAATTTGCCCAATTGGTTCGTTCAAACCAGCAAGAAACACTTTCAGGCCCATATCCTGATAGAATTCTTGATAGAGCTGGAATTAGGGCGTAACAACTTTTGTAAACAATGACTTCTCTCGATGTTATCTAGGAATTCAAGGCACGCTTATCCGTTATTGGATTTATGATACCTTGCCTTATGTAGATTCTTATGCTCTCCTTTTCATTTCATTTTGTGTCCGTAATCTTAACACCGGATCGACTGCGATCCTCGCTGCGACCGGCTGTCTGGTCTTGCTCTCGGCAATATGGTTGCAACCGTTGGTACTTATTTTCTAGGAATAGGTTTGAAAATTGAAATTAACTTGCTTGCAGCGATTTGGCTGCAGTTTTTGGTTTAGATCTTGACCTCCCACAAAGTTGAGAATTGTAATTAATTTGCCCGCGGCGATAATTTATCAGCAACTATTTTTTTGTTAAGCTGTCTGAAGTCTACTACAAGACGCCATTTTTTGTGTCAGTGGAGGACTTCTTTGGGACTAGCAGTATTGGCGAATTATACGGTGAAACAGAGGGTCGTATAATTTTGTCATTTAATAGTTTATTAACTTGTGTGTTGATTTCGTGTCTATGAATTGCTGGTGCGCGGTAATTTTTGATATAAACCGGAGAGTTATCAGACAAATTTATCTTCTGTTTGAAAAAAATTGTTGCTGGACTTCTTCTAGGGCAAATATATCATTGAATTCTGCACATTAATTTTGTAGTTTTTGTTTAGGTATTTCTGGTAAGCTGTTTGAATTCAACTCTTCAAAGAGCTTATTTATTCTATTATCAGTATTGGACTTGTCGTAACTGAGAATGTTGTAATTTTTAAGAGGTACATAAGTCCTTTAAAACTGTCTGCTAATGCGTGCAGGGTCATAATTAGTGTTATCTAGTTTGACGATATGACATTGAGAGTTTATAATTGCGTTGGCATTAAAAACTCCATGTTTAATTTCTCTGGACAGTAAAACGTAATCGTCCTTAATTTCCTCTTTAAAAATTTGTTTAAAAACTTCAGACCTTGGTGGCAAAATGAAATCTCCGTTCACATTGTCTTCGATGGGTATTTCAATTGTTTCGCCGTCACTTATGATAGTTAAAACCCAAGTATCGTAATTTATTGAACAATGAAATTTTGCAAAAAAAATCTCTCCCAAGGATTCCGTTTGTCGGAATTGGGAAATTTTGATCAACTAATTGCAATTTATGTTGTACTGATGTGTCATTTGGTAGTAAAATATGAGTTGAAGCAGTTCCAAAAGTCTCTGTGGGCAAATTATTAATGCCAGTTATTTGACATTTTTCTGAAGCATTTATTGGATGTGATTGCTGTAGTGCGTTAACTTTAAAAATAGAGACTTCGGCTCCAGAATCAACTAACAATTAACGATTATGTAGATGAAAATTTTAATTTTAGATACACGAAATTGCTGCACGATGTATAAATTTGAAAACATTTCTCCTTAATTATTGTCGAGTTATTTGATGCACCACCTGACTTTGTGGTTGATGTAATTGTTGCGGCTGTTGAATGTTTTATACGGGTTGGCCTTGATGCTCTGCTGTTGTTGAAGGCGGAGGCGCTCTCCTCGACGCTCAATACTCGTTAATGCTCTGCTGCTGCTGTTGGCGGAGGCGCTCTCCTCGACGCTCAT